GCAGGTAAAGCCAAATGTTTTGGATTCAGATGTTGCAATGAGGTGACAGAGTGGTTGCTAACATAAGGAAGGTTGGTAAAGGGGGAAGTTGTATCTTGACTGCAAGCTACATTAAAAAATACTCTCGGTGAAATGATTTTGACTGTGGATGTGGCAGGAATTCTGAACAAAAGATAATCATGACATAAATATCCATGATTATTTATGTTTGCTTTTTGTTTATGTCACAATGTCTTCTCTTTTTTTTGGCAGGGACCTCGCTGCCTTTGACAAGTCTCACGATCAAGCCATCCGCACCTACCAGGAGCACAAAGAGAGTATGCACCCCGTGACTGCCATGCTGGTGGGCAAGGACCTAAACGTGGACTGAGCCCTGCCTGTTGCCCCTGTCAGATGTTTCTCTTTTTTAAACTGAATTCATAAAGAAGAATAGCACTCCAGCTCATAGTGTAACTAAAAATGTTTTTTACTTTTGGCTTTTTATTGTTTGGTCAGTGGTTTTCATAAATAAAGCTGAGTTTCCTTCCCCCTCCACCCCCCAAGTGGTATGTTCCTTATAAAGTGAATTATATAAAAGCTTAAACTTTTGATTCATAAATGTAAAATTTTCAGTTTCATGTTGACGTTCTCCCAGTACGGTCACAAAATATGTCAACATATTTACCCGTTACTTTAAGTTCTTTCATTTGAATCTGTTGCACACCAAGAATTCGGCATGATTAGGGTTTTGGCTTTTAAGTAACCATAAACATGACCACTTCGTCGGATTTGCTCATCACCCAGCTGGTGGACACAGGGTGAACTCCCTTGTCAAAATGTGTCAACTCTAGGGGAGCACTCTGCTCCTCATGCCTGGATCCACTTGCTGATCCTCTGGGCTTGTCCCCTCTCCTGTCCATTAGGCTCTGGTGACCACCCTGAACACCAGTCCTTCCCATCAGTCTCCTGATGGTCTGTTCAGCCTGCCTCATCTCTTTAGTGGTCAGCAGACATCCTTCACCAACACAGAGCACACAGCACGTAGACAGAAATATTGAAAACAATACAACATTGATCCAAGTGAGAGAGTAACAAGGTACACCTGTGAATGCCTTGTGGCACCCAGGGTGCCTCAGCACAGTTTGGGAACCACTGTTCAATGAGTTGGGATTCTTTTTCTTTTTTTCATCCTCACCCAAGGACATTTTTCCATTTTTTTGTTCAGATAGAGTGGGAGGGAGAGAGAGAAACATGGACGTGAAGGGGACACATCAAGTAGTTGCCACCCGCACAACCAACCAGGGCTGGAGACAAATTGCAACCGAGGTACGCGCCCTTAGCGGGAACCGAACCCGGGTCTCTCTGGACCACAGGCCGATGCTCTAACCGCTGAGCCAAACCGGCCAGGGCGAGTTGGGATTCTTTGATTGTACCTGACAGCAACCCAAATGACGAGAAGTCAGAAAGGGAACAGGAGGGTTATTTTAAGACTAGGGTAGAGGGAGGTTATCGGAACCTGTGGACAGACAGACACTGACCCAGGACGGCAGAGCCGTCAGTGCCCTGGCCTCCTTTCTGTTTCTGTAGTCCACACTGTATAGTTTGGCTGTCACCAGCTTTACTGTTGCAAATAATTCTTAGCATGTGGAGAGACTGTCTTAATTTCAAATTTCCAGAAGTGAGACTGACCCAGGTTGGGTCCACTCCTGGCCAAATAAACTGTAGCAAAGAGGAATGGTGTTTTTTAGTATAAATGCGGGTGAAGGTATATCATTATTAAATATCCCCCCAAAAGTGCTAATGCAGTGGCAAAAGTCTCAAAACGGGAGCAAACCCCCAAAAGGTGGGGCAGATAAAGAGACAGCTTCCTGTTCGTTCCTATAATCCTGAGACTGCAGCTCCACTCTGCCTGGACACGTATCTATAGCTGCAGTGTGATTCTGTTTCCCAGGGTCTGTTCTCACTTGTGTTCAGTGCCAGGTACACCAGGGAGAACAGCTGGAATCCCTGGTCTATAATCACGTTCTAAGTGATTAGACTTGGGCAAATCCCCAAACCCACATGATAACTTTCAAAGGTGTCTCCAGCCCTCTAAGCTTCCCCCATCTTCAAAGCTAACACCATTTTTTACTATCACTGATGAGTGATTGGGGCGAGGGACCCTTGAAGGGTAGTGTGGAAGGGTGCTGTGAGGAAGGTAGAGGGTGCTAAAGACAAATGTTCGAACAGATTTACCTGGGGCCAGCTCAGTGGAGTCTACATTTATTCACTTTTGCTTATAAGCATCTGCTGAGTATCTTTGTGCCAGGCTGGACATACACATAATTTCCGGATGAACAAAGGTAAGTAATTTCTATAAAACGCTAAAGAGGAGGTATGCTAAAGCAGCCCAGAGAAAGGGGTTTAGGGAGTGCTTTCTGGAGAAGGCATAAACTGAGTCTTAAGGAATAAGAAAGATCTAGCCAAGCAAAGAAAGTTAGAGGTGTGTTGTGGGTGGAAAAAGAATAACATAAGTGAGAATATAGACTTATGGGTGTTAGGGTCATGAATTTGGACAGAGCCAGTGAAAACAGCTATTTCTGCTCTACCCACCGTGTCTAGGGCCTGAGCCTGGGGTCCTCAGATGTCTGGGTGTGATTCAGATCGCTGGAGGCTGGTATCTGGAGATTTCTCTCCTCACATGCCCCGTGTCTGGCCTGGGATTGCTCCAAAGCTGGGGTCAGTTGGGGTTTCCTCACAACACGGGGGATAGCTGGACTCCCCAATCTTCCTTATATGTCTGCACCCATCACCAGAGAGGAAGCACTGTAAACACAGAGACTGTATTTCATCAGTAGCACCTGGCATTGTGCTTGGGACACGGGTGTAACAGACGTTCAGGAAATAGTTCTTGGATGAGTGAATGGAAGGAAACAGAAAGTTCAGGTACTTCATGTCGAAGGGCCTCTGTTTTCTGAGAAGTAGGAGGTAAGATCTTCCTCTGAGAATTAGGGGAGGTGGACATTGAAAAGGTCCTTGAGGAGTGGGTGATGTTTTAGAAACGGGGTGAGGGGGCCAGTGGAAGAGCAGCACCGTGATCTGCACCATCACCGGACTTTCTGTGCCAAGCCTGCCGCCCGAGTGAGCACAGGTGGCGTTCGTGTGGTGACCCAGGGGTCAGGTTTTACTCAGAGTGTAAGCACAGGCTTAGTGTTATAAGGAATTTCAGTCCGGCTGCTGTGGCTCAGTCGTTGAGCACTGACCCGTGCACCAAGAGGTTGCTGGTTCGATCCCGGTCAGGGCACATGCCCAGGCTGTGGGCCAGATCCCCAGTGCAAGAGGCAGCCAATTGATGTTCCTATCTCTCTCTCCCTCTCCCTTCCTCTCTCTCTCTAAAATCAATAAAGAAAAATAAAGGAATTTCAAAGTGCTGAAGAAAGTGGTCCAGGTGAGCAACTGGGGGACCAGCTTCCTAGGAAAGTAAGTGAGAAAGCCAGTGGGAGGCAGAGGGACGAAGGAACTAACTAGAAGTCAGGTCCTATGGGCAGAGATGACTGAAGTGAGGGGGGAGCAGCAAGGCTATGAGGCCAAGGTAAGGAGGTGGGTATTGGCATCAAGATTCTTGTGTATCAGATTCAGGTGATGACAAATTCCAGGGTGTGGTCAGGAGCTGGGGGGCTCAAGTGCAAGTTTCAATAAGGCTTAAGGCATGGTAGCTCCTTGTACACATCCTGGGGAGCTGTCAGAGAAAGAGATGCTGGGTACAGGTGATTTCTGTGAGCAACTGTGTCTAGTCCCCGCAGTAATCTGTTTTAATCGCAACAGACATTTTCGGATTTTTTCTGCCGTGTTCACCAAATCTCTGGAAACTGGCTTACTACTAAAATGCTGCTAAACTAGTGCCCACATTTCTTTGATTCTTTTTTCATGCTCTTCAGACTTTCTTAATACTAGTGGCAATGAAGTGGGTTCAAGGAGCAGTTATCTGCGTTGAAGAAGCTTAACTGGAGTAGGGATATTTGCGTACAAAGATGAAAGAACATTCATAAAGCAATATAAAGAATTAAAGTCCAAATAGAGTCGCAAACTTCTGTAGCATTTCCAGTGTGCCAGGTGCTACTCTAAGGGCTTCCCATATATGAACCCAGTTCCCTCAACAGCTCTTTGCAATAGGCACTACTCTCATTATCTGCATTTTATAGACGAAGAACTCGAGGCTCAGAGAAGTCAAATAACTTGCCAGAGGCCACAGCTGGTAAAAGGCAGAGCCGGGATTTGATCCCAGGTAGCTATGACAAATAGTGCAGAGCGGCATTTATTGCCTTTATCTCCTGAGGAGGAAACAGAAGCTAGTTAAGAGCTTACTTGCTGGAGGCTAATAAGCAGTGGAGCTGGAGTTCCACCCACGGCTCTTGTGTCCAGACAGTGACTTTTGGTTGTGAAAAACGATCCCTGGCCCTTGCAACCTCTGGAAACTTCAGCGGTGAGAGTTGCTCAACACCTGTTTGTGGAATAAACAAATGAGTGAGGATTGCCACACTCTCTGGTGTCATACTTGGCCGCCTGGGTATATTTTACAGTTGAGTAATTCCAGATAAAGATAGGGACATGGTGTTTATTAGTTGCCCTTAATTGAAGAGAATGCAGATAGGAATGGGGGCGGGGAAAGCAGGAACCCTGAGGAAAAGGGCCACAGCTGGTGCCAGCAGGCACTAGGACACCCCCATCTGCCCCCGCCCAGGCCTATCTGCCAACAGGGTGGCATCACAGGTGCCCAGGCAACTGGCCTGCTTGCATCCTCCCTTCCTGCCTCTAGCTCAACTGCAAAAAAAACAAAGGGACACCATGGGCCCTTAATAAATATTTGCCCAACGCGTGAACGAGTAAAGGCAAGAGAGAGAGCATATTTTGAAAGTCCATTCTGGCCCTCCCCGTGCACCACACCTCGGTAGTCACTGCTGGATAAAACCAATCGCTCCTGGTGACTGTCCCCAGTGACGGCACCCGCAGAGCAGCAGGCGAGGCCTGGTTGCGGAGCCCGGCGGGCTGCGGGAGCGGCAGGGAGCCATGCCCAGGTACACGGTGCACGTGCGCGGAGAATGGCTGGCCGTGCCCTGCCAGGACGCGCAGCTCACGGTGGGCTGGCTGGGCCGCGAGGCCGTGCGGCGCTACATGAAGAACAAGCCAGACAACGGTGGCTTCGCCTCGGTGGACGACGTGCACTTCCTCGTGCGTCGCTGCAAGGGCCTGGGCCTCCTGGACAATGAGGACCCACTCGAGGTGGCCCTGGAGGACAATGAGTTCGTGGAAGTGGGTGAGTGGCCGGAGAGGAGCGGCGCGAAGGGACGCAGCACGGCGTGGCTTAGTGCTCGCGTCCCACGGCCGGGAAAGTGCGCGCTGGCCCCGGGCAGGTGCTGCCAGGCCTCTGTGGGCCTTCGACTCTCACACCCCCCTGAAAAGGTGGGATTGGTATTCACCTTTTACAACGAGGCAACAGGCTCCCAAAGGAGGCCATTTATCTAGTCAGTCAGGCTGGTAGTAAGAAGCAAAGAGCACTTTTGAACCCAGGACTGCGGGTTGGAATCCCTTTGCAGTTATTAAATTGCTTTGTCTTATACAACTATTTTTATAGACTTAAAGGTGGCATAAAGGAGTTCAGATTTAAAACAAAATAAAGCTGGGATGGGGATAGAGGTGGGGGTTAGATCTTGAACTTGCATTTAAACCCGGGGCCATGCCCAGCACCTACATCCCTGCCCTTTGCTCTCCTCCATTGTAAAGATGCTAAGAGCACTTGAAAGTATCTGCAGTTGTTTTAAAGCAGACCTTTGGAGAGAATTTAAAGGCAGTTGAAGAGCCCTGCCTTGGTTTACCAGCAAGGCCTAAAGTGGCTCTCGGTTGTGACCTGTCAGGGGTCATTCTCATCTTCTCGTTTCAGTTATAGAAGGGGATGCCATGTCTCCCGACTTCATTCCATCGCAGCCGGAAGGAGTTTACCTGTATCCTTTCCTGCAGGCTCCTTGGCCTGCTCGGAGGGCTCCGGCTGGTGGGGGGCTGGGGCTCTCCCACACGTCCCTCTTTTCCTTTACCTGGCTTCAGATACAGCAAATACCGGGAGCCTGAAAAGGTGAGCTTCAAACCACTCTTTTTGTTAAGAAAATTAAGTCCCCCTCATTTAAGGAGGGGGAGAGCCAGCAAGATGTATGAGCTAGCACCATCAGTTAGGACAGGACTTTGTCCAGCTCAGGGTTGTAGGGAAAGACATTACGCTTTTGCGTTTCTAACTTTCCTTACTTGGCCTCTTCTTAGGTAAGCTGTCTTTTAACTTAGCACATGAATTAGCAGTGATAAAATCTCTGAGGTGTCCAAGTTTGGTTCTGCTTGAGGCTTCTCTACTCTCTTGTTCGAGCAACTAAGCCGTTCAGACTCATGGAGATCCCTTCCTTTGCGCAGTACATGGACTTAGATGGGGACAGCCTGACCACGGAGGATCTGATCAACCTGGGCAAGGGACACTACAAAATAAAGGTATGGGGGAGGGAAGGATGTCCTCTGACCTTTTTTGCTACATGTGGAAATCTTCCATGTGCTCAGCTCTGACCAATGTTTTTCTAGCTCACCTCCGCTGCTGAAAAGAAGGTGCAAAAATCCAGGGAAGTCATAGATAGCATCATAAAAGAAAAAACTGGTATCCTTTCCCCCTTTGTGTTAATACAATTATTTTTATAGATTTAAGATGGCCTGTGTCTAATTGGATAACATCTGTTTTTTGTTTTTTTTTTATTCCAGTTGTTTACGGCATTACTACAGGTTTTGGGAAATTTGCCAGAACTGTAATTCCTATTAACAAGCTACAGTAAGTGTGATTCCTGCTCTTCCCATGAAATGTACACAGCCACAGGCCACCTACCCCCATTTATCAGATTCGTTTCAACAAGGGAAATAACATTTGCCCCAATTTACAGGTGTGGAGGACGAGGCTCAGATTAGCTTGCACAGGAGACGGCGTTGAAAACACAGGCTTGCTGGTTTCTTCCGCTGCCTCACGCTTCCTCACTCTGTCCCTCCCAAGATGTTACTGTCCCTCCCTTCACTTCCCAGATGAGAGAACATTTTCACCACGGGTATCTAAGAGGGCTTTTCTTCTTTCTCTTTCAGGGAACTCCAGGTCAACCTAGTACGTTCACATTCTTCAGGTAAATCATCGCAAATGCTGGGTGCCTCCTAGATCTTGTTTGGTTGATGCCCCCCCGTGACAGTCATGAAGAGCTAGTGTATTCCGGGGACTGGGTGCTTCAGGGGACGGAGGGAAGCAGAAAGCATCAGACAACACCTCCTTCCAGATGAATCTCAGGAAGAGGAATGGGCCAGGTACAGGGACAGGAGCACCTGTACAGGTGCAGTCATGCCAAGAGAGGGGTGCATTCAGGCTGAAAGTCAGCAATGAGCAGATCAGGATGAGGTGAGATGGGACAGTCTGTCAAGAGTCCGCTCTCGTCAGACTGCAAGGCCTGGGGTGGGGCGTGGGGGCTCATTGAAGTGTTCCAAGAAGGGAAACTGAGAAGACAAAACTGGGTTTCACCTTCGTCTGGAAGATGATACTTTAAGAAGCAAGACAGTCAGGAGGGAGAGCAGTCCAATGACCTGAGGCAAGAAGCGAAGAAAGATTTGAGAGGTGGAGGCAGCCAGGAGGTGGAAAAGATTTTATTTTTCAATTGTTTCGTAGGTGTTGGGAAACCACTAAACCCTGAGAGATGTCGGATGCTCTTGGCTTTACGAATCAATGTCTTAGCCAAAGGATACAGTGGCATTTCCCTGGAGACCCTCAAACAAGTTATCCAAGTATTTAATGGTAATGCAATGGATCCCTGAGCGACCCTCCATTGAGGTTGGGCGTGTCCCATAAGGTAGACTTGATTGATGAGATGGTAAGGAATTGGTTGAGACATAAAATAATGACATGAATAGAAAATGGGCTTGGCAAGAAGGAGGATAGCTAGGTGAGGGAGTGTGGCAGAGACAATCCTGTGTACTTGAACCCATTCTCCATCACTCTTCACTTTGTATTTGGCATCCTTAAGGCTGGAACCAGCCCATAAGTCTGGCCTAAAGTTCAGGGCTGGAGAGAGCTTTTTTTTTTTTTTTTAAATCTTTATTGTTGAATGTATTACAGATGTTCCTCATTTTTCCCTCATTGACCCCCTCCTCCCCACTCCCGCCCCCCTCCCACCCTTTCCCACACTATTGTCTGTGTCCATTGGTTATGCATATAAGTTCTTTGGTTTATTTCTTCCTTCCCCCAACCCCCTTCTCTTTGAGGTTTGTCAGTCTAGCAACCAATTTGTTCTTCTTAATCCCTTCACCTTTTTCACCCATTCCCCCAACCCCCCTCCCATCTGGCAATCAACAAAATGTTCTCTGTATCTATGAGAATGTTTCTGTTCTGCCTGTTCATTTTGTTTGTAGATTCCATTGTCGATAGATATGTATTCATTGCCATTTTGTTTGTTCATATATTTTATCTTTTTCTTCAAAAAGACCCTTCATCATTTCATATAATAACGGTTTGGTGGTGATGAACTCCTTTAACTTTTTCTTGTCTGGGAAAGTCTTTATATGGCCATCAATTCTAAATGACAGCTTTGCAGGATAGAGTAATCTTGGTTGTAGGTTCTTGCTTTTCATCACTCTGAATATTTCTTGCCACTCCCTTCTGGCCTGAAAAGTTTCTTTTGAAAAATCAGCTGACAGTCTTAATGGGAACTCCCTTGTAGGTAACTGTTTTTCTCTTACTGCTTTTAAGATTCTCTCTTTGTCTTTTGCATTTTAATGATGATGTGTCTTGGTGTGGGCCTCTTGGGGTTCATCTTGTTTGGGACTCTCTGTGCTTCCTGGACTTGTATGTCTTTTTCTTTCACCAAGTTAGGGAAGTTTTCTGCCATTATTGTTTCAAATAGTTTTTCGATTTCTTGTTCTCTCTCTTCTCCTTCTGGCACCCCCAAGATGCAAATGTTGGCACGCTTGAAGTTGTCCCAGAGGCTCCTTACACTATCCTCATTTTTTGGATTCTTTTTTCTTTTTGCTATTCTGATTGGGTATTTTTTGCTTCCTTAGATTCCAAATTGATGGTTTGCTTCTTGGCTTTACCTATTCTACTATTGAATCTGTGTAAATTATTCTTTATTTCAGTTAGTGCCTCATTCATTTCTGACTGCTCCTTTTTTATGCTCTTGAGGCCCTCACTAAGTTCGCTGAGATTCTCACTAAGTTCATTGAGCATCCTTATAAACAGTATTTTGAACTCAGCATCTGGTAGGTTGCTTATCTCCATTTCGCTTAAGTTCTTTTCTTGGAGATTTTTTCTGTTCTTTCATTTGGGACCTGTTTCTTGTCTCCTCATTTTGGCTGCCTTCCTGTGTTTGTTTCTATGTATTACTTAACAGGAGGTATGAGACCAGATGCTACTTGTTTGAAAGAATTTAGGAAAACCTGAAGCAGGATCCAAGACAGGTCAATGCTGTGGTGAAGCAACTGGCAACAGCTCCTGTGGGCCTGAAAGTTGGGTGGGGCGGGGCCTCAGGGACTCACCAGGGCGGGGCAACCAGTGTGAGCCAGGTTGCTGGAGTCCCAGATGTGGCGACTGTATGCCGGCCTTGTGAGGGAAGGGCTCACGAAAGGAACAAAGGCCTCTGACAGCACGTTTGTCCAGGAGAAAGCCCCCTCTCCAGCCCTCGCTCCGGTGCCAAACAGCTCTGTTCTTCCCTGTATGTCTCTGGTGCCCCTCGAGCTGCCTCCCTCCAAGCTTAGAGGGAGTAAGTTGGATAAATCCAGGCGTGGGCCCTTAAAGAGGGGCTGCCTGGGGCTCCAGCTGCCTCAGCCTCCCTGAGCCTCAGTTCCCGCTGGTTTTTCCAGCCAGAAGTTATGGGGATTCTCTTCCTGGCACTGGAACCCTGAGCATGGCGCCTGGTGTGGGACGGGGATGCCTCAGTCCTCAGGGAAGACCTTCCTAGCCGAGGTATCCTCCTGATTTTTATCTGCCACACGTGGGTGTGGGACCAGCCTGTCCACCTCTGCCCCTCCTACCAGTCTGGATGTGGCTGCTGCTTTAATTCCGTAGTTGTAGGACTTCCATTCAGCTTGATTTCAGGTGGGTTTGAATGATGGTTGTTCTGTAGTTTAGTTGTAACTTTGATGTGGTTGTGGGAGGACACGATACTGTGTTTACCTACCCGCCATCTTGACTGGAAATCTGGAGAGAACTTTGATTCAGTGATATTCAAAGGTGGTTAGAGAAGTAACATCCAAACTTCTGGGAAACATCCAGATTCTTGGATATCTATCCCAAAGATGACTCTGTACTTCTGGTTGGTGCCTGGGAACCTGAAATCTTACTGCTATCCAAGTGGTAAGATCACCAGACTTAAATAACAGAAATCCAGCTTCTTGAAAAAATAAAACAGAAAAGAGATTCAAGACTTGCTCACGATGGTGAAACCATCTGGTGCCAGTTTTATGATGCAGCTCAACTCTTTGGAGCTTACTTCCTGGGACAGGAAAATTCAAATATGAGACAAGATTTGAAATGCTTGGGAGGTCTAGGGTTAGGGTTAGGGTTATGGGTTCCAGATCACCTTTCTCCCCTGCAACCCGATCTTGATTGTTTCTCTATGTACAGTGTTCCCAACCACATTTACACTGCAAATTTGAGCATGTCCTGGCTAAAACCTGTAATGCTACCTGTTGTCCTTTGGAGAAAGTCCAAACTTACAGTGGCTGCAAGAGAAGTCTTTGTTACAGGGAGGGTCTTCTTTCCTTCCTGCCCTCCCTTACTCCCTTCCCTCCCTTTTTTCCTCCCTTGCCTTTTTCTCTCTCTTCCTTCCCCTCACTACAGTACCTCAGCCAGATCCCTTAAGTATTAGTTGTGCGTGAGGAATTGTCTTCCCCAGACAATTGGTACCAGAAGGTGACCCTGGATCCTCCTGGGGAAGGTGGGTCTTGCTGTCAGCATGGGGTTGACCAGAACAACGTTCTGGAATAACTGGTGTAACTTCCCTCCCAGCCTCCTGCCTGCCCTACATTCCAGAGAAAGGAACCGTTGGTGCCAGTGGAGACCTCGCTCCACTCGCTCATCTTGCTCTCGGGCTCATTGGAGAAGGGAGGATGTGGTCTCCAAAGAGTGGCTGGGCTGACGCTAAATACGTAAGACTTTAACAACAACGTCCATCTGAAGGATTTTCCCTGGGCTGGACACCGGGTATACAGCATGCTTTATATCACTTGATCCCTACTGCCACCCAGTGAGGGGCCACTGTTAGCCCTACTTTATAGATGAGAAAACTGAAGCTTGGATGTCAAACTAGGCAAGGCTCTTAGCTTTCATACCCAATGGTCAGCCTCTGGACTTGGTGATCGCCTTGGTGAAAAAGTATAGCTGCCAGTGTGGATCTCAGGAATTTCTTCTGAGAAATTCCTTCCGGGGCCTATCTGGGAGGTCACGCCCTGTCACAAGTTTACTTGGTTGCTGATCTCATAGGTACTGAGCTATAATCATAGCACTCATTCTATGGGCTCTGAAAAGAAGGTTCTGTTTTTCCCTGAGCTCCCACCTAATGGCTGATGAGAAAGGCTTGTTTTTGATAGAGCTTTAGTGTTTTCGTCATTCATCTCCAGATTCCATCAGAGCAGCCCAAAGAATTAATTGAAGTGCCATCTTTGATCTATTGTTAGGAGGTCCCCTAACAGTAAGCAAAGGTTCCAGGACCAAGGAGGAGGGAGAAGTTAATAAAACCCATAATCGCTATGGGGATATGGACTCCCGATCCCCTTCCTTCCATGCAGACTATTCTTGATTATTTCTCTGTGTACAGCGTCCCCCCACCACCTTCACTCAGCAAGTCTGAGCCCGTCCTGGCTAAAACCTAAAGTCCTTCCCATCGTCCTTAGGAGAAAAGTCCAAACTTCAAGTGGCCTACAAGAGTCTTACTTGTCATGTTCCCCCCTCCCCACCCAGGTCCTCCATCACAGAAGCTGGAGACTCCTTGCAGCTGGAATGTGCTATGTCCTAGGCAGAGGGACTAGCACAGGGTCATTCTTCTCTTCCCCACTTACTCCTGTTCCTCCTAATAAGTCCTCTGGGAAACTGCTTCTCTGCTCTTCTTGTTCTTTTCCCTGCCCACCACGTCTCCTTTGCTCCTCCTCTGTGCTCTCCTGGCAGTGTACTTGATTATTTCCCACTGAACGTTCTGTTACTGTAACTGCCCTTGAGCATATCTGTCTCCATTTCCCCCACTCCAGCCCAGCCCAACACTCAGAACAGAGTTAGATGTGGAACAGTCCCTCTAATAAACCTGAGAAACTGATGTAGTAAATGGTGCAGGCTCTGTCTTCCTTCTTCTCTAGAGGGACCTTAACTCATTGTTACTTCTGTCATGTCAGAGTAAGATTATCCAACCCATTTCCCCTCAGGATTCTGTTCCCATTCATTAGACCAACAACTACCACTTCACTGGTGCTCACACGTTTGCCACATGAGTGAGAAGTCCTTCTCTGAGCTTCTGCCAGTGTTTGGATATGTTAGGAGGACTATTAAGGTCAAGCCTTGGAGGCAGGGAGTGTGGGCAGACAGGAGGAAGCCCAGCCTTATGTGCGACTGTGCTCAGGAAGCCACAGGAGGGAGGTGAATCATGAAAGTGGACATTGAACACAAAGGACCTAGATGCTAGAGTCCCCGATTTAAGTACAAAAAACATTTGAAAGCTAAGTCTGCTTTCAGACTAAAGAACAGAGCTAGAGGATAGACCAGAGATGATAAATAGAACTAACTCATGTAGGTCTAATCTTTTATAAGACAGACCTTTAGGCTTAAAGATCTTTTATTGGGTACCTCATGAAATTAGTAATAGGCTGGTATTTCATTTGATACCATGTTCATTTTTAAATAATTCTTTAGGTCCTGCAAGCCCACGGATTGAAACCAATTGTTTTGAAACCAAAAGAGGTAAGGAGAGCCAAGGAAAATTTGTTCCTTCCAATGAGTCTTTCTTTATGCACTATTTTCCGTCTTAATATTAGTCTCACTGATTTGTTAAAATAAACATGGTTCACATGTTTGTTCAAAGTTGGTCACTGAAGAAACAGCTCCTCCATCAGTATTTAAAAGATTCTTCTTGCCATAAATGCTTAGGGATTCTCTTGACAAAGAACTTAAACTTTAAATTGGGATCTCTAGGGATCCCTAAGAGATGCTCTAAGACAGCATCTATTAGGATACTCTAAGCCAAGAATCTTGGACCAGAAATGTGTTAGGGTATCTTGTCTATAATGATGAGAAGTAAAAGAAGAAATGCACCATCACTAAGATTGTATATGCCTTCTGCACTGGAGCTGCTCTGCTACTGTGAGAAGGGGGATACTTAACAGCTAGTCTATTTGCCAGATTCATAGTAATGCTTTCACATAGGATGTCACTTAGCCCTCACGTGCTTGAATAAGCATTACTGCCCTGCACTTCAGGAAACATAATTATATTTAGCTGACTGGCTAACTTGCCTCTTATGAAAGCCAACGATACTAAATCAACTTGGTCATGGGCTTGTAACGAAACATTCAGTAGGAAGCTTCTTTCCCTTGCCCCAAAGGGTCTGGCGCTCATCAACGGGACACAGATGATCACCTCCCTGGGCTGTGAAGCTGTGGAGAGAGCCAGTGCTATTGCCCGGCAGGCTGACATCGTGGCGGCCTTGACCCTGGAGGTGCTGAAGGGCACCACCAAAGCCTTCGATACTGGTCAGCGCGGTCCCCCTCTTTGGTTGCTAGTCATTCAACCAGAATTGGTGGGGCAGGCTGGTCGAGGTCTTCCGACATGGGAGTGTGGGGGTGGGTGGTAGGGAAGAAGGAGAAAACCCAAGAGTCTATGGTGTACCCGGTACTGCTACAGCTTCATCTAAATTTTGCCACACTTGACCCTTGAAATGACCACATTTTACAGAAAGACGCTGACCTTGAGAGTCAGGTGACCTGCCCCAGATCACCTAGGTTGGACTCTCATCAAACTATATGCTATTTTAGGAATCTGTTTGCAGAGTTTTAGAACTATAGTAAGATTCAGGTTGATCCCTATTAGAAAATCAGAGGAAAAAATTATAGAAGTGGTAGCTTACTTAGAAAGTAGTGCATTTGAAAGACTATTACTATATAGAGGACACAAGAAAACTGGCTAAAAATGACTTAGTTAAATTAGGCCACTATACAGCTCCCTTCCATTATCAGCCTAAATCTTTTTAGGGTAGTCCAGTGTCTTGAGTTGAATTCCCAGTAGTTGAATTCTCAACACATAATTTGCACATGGAGGTTTGAAGTAGAAAGAATAGAGACAATAAGGAATATCGTGCTTTTGGAGATACATTTCTAATCCTCAGTGGTGGTTAAGGACCCCTGGGACTTTTGAGGGCTGTGTCATCCATGGTAGTTCATTCTAATATAAGAGTTGCTCAGACCTTTTCTCCTTCATCAATTCTAGACATTCACGCTGTTCGCCCTCATCCTGGGCAAATTGAAGTTGCTTTTCGGTTTCGGTCACTCCTGGACTCAGATCACCATCCATCAGAAATAGCAGGTCTGGGCATGTTTATGTGAGTGAGCTTATTGGGTTTGGTGTTTTGTGGGGGGAAAATTGCTAATATGTTTCCTGGCATCCCCTCCACCTCTTCCGCAGAGAGTCACCGGTTCTGTGACCGTGTGCAGGACGCGTACACCTTGCGCTGCTGTCCACAGGTAAACCAACAGACAGGACCTTCCCTGTCTCTCTCCCAGTGCAGGTGGAAAATAGAAAAAGAGGAAGGTGTTAGGAAATCATCTGATGGTCCATTAGAATCCAAATTTCTTTACTGTCTCTATTAAAGATTATGTAGATCATACTTCCATTTGTCTCATTATTGTTTCTATTCCATGTGATAAACTGGCTATTTCCTTTTGTATTGCTTTGCTCAACCTTGTAGAGAATCCCAACAGACAACTTGCAGTGTTGGCTTAGTGCCCTCACTTTTTAAAATTCATAGTAATAACATCATCCTAACCAGTTAGTAGAGTTTTACTTGCTCTCCCTCTTGGGGAGAACAAGGACCAGCATGCCAGGGATGCTCACAGGAAAGTCTAATCCAAATTCAAGTGCCCATCCACGGTATACCTTACCTGCCTTTAATAGGCAGACAGAAATCATCATAAATGAATCTGTGAGACTTAACTTTAAGTAAAAAAATGCAGATCACTTGGGTTAGCATGAGGCATCCTCCTGTATCACAGATGTTGTGGCTCATTTGCATATGGTAATTAATTGAATAAGAGACTAACACGTTTCTTAAGAAGGAAACAATACAGGGTGGGGCAAAAGTAGGTTTGTGATTGTTCTCTTGGGAGATGATTATTAAGAAATATAAGAATAAACTGTTTCATGTACTCACAACTATAAACCTCCTTTTGCCCCACCCTGTGCCATATTCCAGTCTACAGTGTAGTCAAGAGTCCTCCCTAATGCCCTCACGTCCTGGTACCCTGCAAGTTCTACTCTAGCTAGCTGGATCGAACACATCTGTGGGGAAGGATTGCCCAATTAGCTCTGCCACAAGAATAAATCCCACTTTCAAACATCCTTGCCATTCTGATAGGAATATCAGACTTTGAAACAGGCACCATTATCAGTGTCTTCCATGCAGTAATTCACTTAATCTTGTATTTTAGGTCCATGGTGTGGTGAATGACACAATAGCATTTGTGAAGAACCTGATAACCACAGAACTAAACAGCGCAACCGATAATCCTGTATCTTTTGACAGTTTACTAAACCGTAATTATGGGATTTCGGCGTAATTTTAAGATCCGCCGTGATCATTGTGCAGCACCTCTGTCCTGTCACATTATTTCATAAACTGAGTACCTGAGGCTCAGAAGTTAAGGGACTTTCTCCAGGTCAGAGCTGGGAAGTGGCAGAGGCAGGTCTGCGAACCGAGTCTCCGGTTCAGAGTCAAACGTGCCATGCTTTCAGAATTAAAGCCTAAAGGAGGGATTTCCAGCTTTGGCTGAGCGGTCTCATGAGGACATTTGCCCTAAAAGCCAACGCTGGGGTTGTTGGTAGAAGGTTGAAGACCTACGGCACAGGTGTGATCGGGGAGACCTGGGCTAAGTGGCATTTATGCACACCTTCCCGGTCCCAGTAACGTCATGACGCGTTAAATAGGAAGCAGCCTTTAACACTTACCAAAGTGTTGATCAGAGAGCTATGGCTCTCCACACCCCGAGCTTTCGTTTCTGACACGGACTTCACTGGAATCGGTGTTTGTACGAAGAAGAGTAAGAACACTCGCATTTCTCAAGGATGGGCTCGACTTTCCTGGAGTGGGTACCTCAGAGCCACCTCGTCTTCGCTATGGCATGTTCTGTGCCGGCGTCATCCCCCCGACGTCGGTGTGATCCCTGAGTGGGTCACACTGGCAGTCTTCGCAGAGACAGTGCTGCCTGTGAAGACCACTAGACCTCTCAGGAAGCAGTTTTTCCTACCCCACGTCTGCCTCGGTTCTGAACCCTGGAGAAAGTCTGAGTTCGCATCCCTGAAAGTTCGCGGACTGGGCTAGCAGATGGGTCCGCAGCAGCTGTGTGAGGTTTCTCTGGCGAGCTGATCTTAGGGTGTGTGTCTTATGTTCTCTTGGCTTGTTTCACAGTTAGGTCAGACCCACACTAAATGATTCTCAACTCACTACCCCGCCTCTATGCCAGCCCACCTCCCAGATGCAGTAGTTTTTCTGAGCTTCATGTAGTCTTTTTTTTTTTTTATCCTCACCCGAGGACATTTTTCCATTTTTTGTTCAGGTAATAGGAGGAAGAGAGAGGAACAGAGAGAGAGAGAGAGAGAGAGAGAGAGAGAGAAACATCGATGTGAAAGGGACACATCGAGTGGCTGCCACCCGCATGACCGACCAGGGCCGGGGACAAACTGCAACTGAAGTACAAGCCCTTAGCGGGGACCGAACCCGGATTTCTCTGGACCGCAAGCCGGCGCTCTAACCGCTGAGCCAAACTGTCCAGGGCATTTCATGTAGTCTCATATCTGTCCTGGGGAGCAGAAGAATGCATTCCACACTTGCGTAATTTAGGCTTAAAAGAGTATCTTAGAGAGTTAAAAGAAAGCACCATTAAATTATTAGAAATGGGAGAGGAAATAATTCTCTACTAAGTTCTCCTCCCCCACCAGCAAAAAAAAAAAAAAAAAAAAAAAAAAATCATCTCAAAGTCCTTTACTTTCTCAATTAAAGATTTTTAATTGCTGATGCATTTCCAATAGCCTAATCTTTGGGAGTTCTCCTGCAATATTGATGTTACCTTATAGAATATTTTTCTAAGTTTTTACTGCAGAAAAAGAACACCTATTACCTAGTCACTGGATATGATGGGAGTTAACTTCTAAGAGCTATAATTTAATAGCCAACCAACAGATTTGGAGCTGGAGGGCAATAGAACATGCTTAAGTTCTAAATTGATGACGAGATCACTTGCTATAAGGATTCCGAGAACGGAGAGAAGACCGAGGCCTGCGGTTGGGGTGGGTTCACGGAAACGAGCAAGAGTGAGGCCTGATGTGCTCACGGTTTTGGAGAGCACGTGATGCAGGTCATGTAACACATGTATCTCCAGCTCTTTGGAAGTCAGAACCTTTCTCACACAGAGTGAGTTCCTAATTGATATGATAGGTAGTGAATATTCTTTAGTCCCGTGGGTAAAAATGAGCTCTTGGGAACCTGGAAGAAGGGTCTGTTACTGCCTTTGTCTGTTGGTTAAGTAAAGTGCACAGTGGAACAAAATGATCCCTGAGAGTACGAATATTCAGTGTGTTCAAAGTGGCCTCTGGCCTCAATGAGTTTATGACAACCTGTTGGCCATTTGCTGTGAATGCTGGTACAGATCACTGAGTGGAGAGTTTGTTTGGGACTTTTCCCAGAATTGATTATTCCAGACAATTTGGTGGTTGGTCATCAGCAAAGTCTTCCATTCAGCAGGTTCTTCTATGGAGAACAAGCTCACAGTGCCCATTGAAGAAATGGAATTTGTTTTTAAATTTTTTTTTTTAGAGAGAGAGGGAAGGAGAGAGAGATAGAAACATCAATGAGAGAGAAACATCAATTGGCTGCCTCCTGCATGCCCCCTACTGGGGATGGAGCCACAACCTGGGCATGTGCCCTGACTGGGAATTGAACCAGTGACCTCTTGGTCCATGGGTTGATGCTCAACCCCTGAGCCACACCAGCTAGGCTAGAATTTGCTTTTAAACTGGTATCCTGGTCTCTGCTCTTAAACTTTTCAAGAGCAAGTACTAACCATCAGATTAGCACAGTTATGATGCTTAAGAATCTCTAATCTCAAGAGAAAACATTTCACACCTTGTGTTTCTTTGACTCCGAATTGAGTATACATGAGTCTTCTTTAACATCGTGTGTTTGTTTGTGTGTTTGTCCCTTTATGCCAACAACTGCTTGTGAACTCACCTTCTCTCCACCCCACATTTTACAAGGGCTGCTACTTCAATGTTAAAAATAAGCAGATTGGGGGAAGGGTTATACATGAAGTAATCAACAAATATGTTCAAGCCTTAACCTACTTTGAAAGATGGTCTTTGCCAGCAGGGGAGAGACTGTTTCTGGAGGAAACTTCCACGGTGAATACCCAGCCAAAGTAAGCTTTTTAGAATTGCTGCTGCCCTTGAAAGCATATTCCAATATAGACCAACTGAATTGAGATACTCTTCCAGGCCCTGGACTATTTGGCCATTGGTGTCCATGAACTTGCTGCGATTAGCGAAAGAAGAATTGAAAGGCTCTGTAACCCCTCCCTCAGCGAGCTGCCTGCCTTCCTGGTGGCTGAAGGTGGTCTGAACTCTGGATTCATGATAGCCCACTGCACAGCCGCGGCCCTGGGTAAGGACACCGCCCTCTTCCCAGAGCACGAGCCGGTCCATTGACGGGCCTCTCATTTTACCTGGAAGTATCAAGTTTTCTCTTTGAATGAGATCTAACTCTTTCAGCACCTCCATTTGCATCCTACCTCTCTTCATACAAATGCAGCAGGTTGTCACTTTAATATTTTTTAGAAGAAATACGAAACAAACCCTAACACTATTGTGCTGAAACATAATAATACACTAGTGAGATTGTAATGAAGATGCGTTCCGTGGCCCGGTGCTGGTTCTTCGTGCTGAGTTTTAGTGTGAGTCTGGGTTCGAATCCTGGCTCTGCCATTTACAGTGTGATATGGAACAAATCTCCATCCTGTTGACTCTGTTTACTCCTGTGTAAAATGGGCATGATAAACACACCCAGTGGAGCTGTTGTAAAGATTAAATGAATTAATGCAGGTAAATCCTCAGAACTATGCCTGGTGCTAATATAGTTACTATTACTCCTGATCCCTTCCTCACCTAAGCCTCACACTAAAACTCAGCGCAAATAACCAACACAGGGCCACAGAATGTGTCTTCTCCTCAGTCCAGTGTCTTCTGTTTGCTCACTCACCTGGATATTAAAATACCCCCTCAAAAGGCAACAAGTTCTCATATTAACATGGTGGGGGGAGATTTCTAAAGAATATTATGGACTTTGGGAAGCCCCGTTTGAATGATCAGCTTCCCACTTGTACGTTATGTTTCTGAACAGGTCTCACTACAGCCTTCTGATCCATGTAGCAGATTTAGGGCCCCGGGACCTGGGGTGCAGTGCTGAGACCTGAAGTCCTGGGCAAACCAGGACGAGCTGATAATCTGCATTTATATCTAGATGATCTCAGACAGGATCCCTATAGCCTGGAAAACAATGGATGCTTCGCTTAGAGCCACTCTCAATGTCATACAAAGAGTTTGACCTTTCCTGGCTCCTGACGCTGGGAGAAGAAACACTGTAACCTAGATCCTTGCTACTTTCTGATCCTCAGTCCAAAAGCACAGCTATCACCTCGAAGTTTGTTAGAACAACCGAATCTCAGGTCCCCGGGAAATGCAACCTTTGCCTTTTAATGAGATCTAATGATTCATTTGCACAATGCAGTTTGAGAGACATCAATCTCGGTCACCTGTGGGATCCTCTCACCTCCCTAAGATATCTCTGACAGTCATCCAGCCCTGATTAAGCCCTTTATGTCATTGTTGAATTGTCCGAACTGTTGGGTCTTCCTGCTCAAAGTCTGTAGGTCCCGCCTCCACACGAAATGCCATGCCTGAATTCCAATATCGCCTCCTCTGGTGACACCACCCGTCAAGTTATTCTCCAGCACGTGGGAATGACCACATGTCTCCCTGGTGTGCTCACTGCTTCCAATGTTGTTAAGGTGGCTTTGTAACATTAGGGTTCCCTTCAGTCTTAGAACTCACTATAGCTTTGGAGTCCTTCTCACTTAGGGGGGAAAGAAAACAACCAACGTGTTCCCTTTTTCCAAAGTAACTTTGGACCATCTGGTGCTTGGATAACCACCAAGGAAGGGCTCCTGGAGAGGATGCCGTGGAGCACTTTGGGAAACCACGTGTCATTCTGACACTTTCCTGGTAGAACATACTTAACTTGCACTGACCTCTTGCAGTTTCTGAGAGCAAGGCTCTGTGCCACCCCTCATCTGTGGACTCCCTCTCCACCAGCGCTGCCACGGAGGACCATGTCTCCATGGGAGGATGGGCAGCGAGGAAAGCCCTCAGGGTGGTCGAGCACGCCGAGCAAGGTAACCCCAGCCACACCTGGATGGCAGGCCTTACTGATAAACGACTCCTGGTCCTCAGAGTGGGGTCTCCATCAGCATCACCTGGGATCTTGTTAGAAAGGCAAACTCTTGCCCTGGCCGGTTTGGCTCAGTGGGTGGAGCGTCGGCCTGCGGTCCAGAGAGACCCGGGTTCGGTTCCCACTAAGGGCATGCACCTCGGTTGCAGTTTGTCCCCGGCCCTGATTGGGTCGTGTGGGTGGCGACCACTCGATGTGTCCCTTTTGCATCGATGTCTCTCTCTCTCTCTCCCCCCCTCCCTCCCACTCTATCTGAGCAAAATATCAAAAAATGTCCTTGGGTGAGGATTAAAAAAAAAAAAAAAAAAAGGCAAACTCTTAAGCCCCTCTTCAAACCTACGGAATGAGAAACTCTAGAGAGGAAACAGAAGAATCTGGGTTTAACAAGTCCTCCAGGTGATGCTCACTGGAGATTAGGAAACATGCCAGTTGGTTAAACTGGATCATCTGCCAGCTGTTTAAAAAATAAGACTTTCAAAACATACCATGAACCTCATACACCCCCCCACTCTGATTCAACATTTAGCACTTTTGCTTCATTTTCTTTTTCTTTTCTCAAATTATTTTCAAACAAATCCCTCTTATTTTCTTCTTGCATCCTTTAAGTCTTAGCTATTGGTGCTTGCTAATCCACCAGAATGCCATCATTACAACCAGCCTGGCGTCACCACTGAGCACACGTTCACATTCTCCCAGGGACCTCTGTGTCTTTACAGGGGGGTTGTTCAAACCAGGACTCAAGGCCCACATTTTAAATTGGGCAGTCAAGGTTTTAAACTTCTTTTCATCTAGAACAGTCCCGTCTCCTCTCCCCACCTCCCCTCTTAATTCCACCGACTAGTTAAAAACCAGGTCAATTTTCTTACGGAGACCGTGTTCTGGGCTCACCTGTTAGCTTCCTCATGGTGTGACTTTTAACTTGTTCTCTGCCCCATGCATTTCCTGTATGGGGCAGTTGGCCCTAACGGCTTGACAAGCCTGAGATCCAGCCTTTTTGGCAAAGATTCTTCACAGTGGAGCCTGTGTTAGGCCCCCTTCTCCCCACCTTCATAATTACTGCATGTTTTTGTTGTTGTTGTTGTTTTTTGTGTGTTTTTTTTTAAGAGAAATTGCCTTCCTTTAGGACTTCTTGTCTAAGTTCCTAAGTTTTTGCAATTATATTAAAAGCAGTTGGCTGACAAAAGAATATCATGATTTTAAGATGAATGGAAGCATTAAGTTTTCTTTATTTTTTTGTAACAGTGGTATTGAGATATAATTTGCACATCATGCGATTCACCCATTTAAAAATTATAATTCAGTGGTTTTTAGTATATTCACAGGGTTGTACAACCACTACCACAATCAATTTTAGGACATTGTCATCACCCCAAAGAGGAGCTTTGTACCCTAGAGCTGTCATCTCCCCTCTCCTTATCCCACTGACCTTCCTTCTAGGCTCAGACAACACTGCTATGCTTTCTCTCTCTGCTGATTTGCCTATTCTGGGCATTTCATACAAATGGAATCATCTGACATGTGTGGGAGGGTCTATGTGACTGACTGCTTTCACCAAGCACAATGTGTTCAAGCTTCATCTGCGCTGTAGCATGTGTCAGAACTTCATTCGTTTTTCTGGCCAAAGAATATTCCACTGTATAGACGGACCACATTTGGTTCATCCATTTGTCAGTTGAGGGACATTTGGCTAATATGAATAATGCTGCTATGGACATTTGTGTAACAGTTCTCGTGTGGACACGTGGTTTCATCTGTCTAGAGTGGAGTTGCCGGATCCTATGGTAACCCTATATGCATCTTTTTGAGAAACTGCCGAACTGTTTTTCAAAGGTGGCTGCACCATGCTGCATTCCTACCAGCAGTGTCTGGGAGTCCTGATTTCTCCTCATCCTCACCAACGCTTGTCATTGTCCGTCTACCACAGTGTATTCTTCATTCTTAAGATGGCCTCCCCATTGAACATGGTGCTCTGGCCAAAAGTCACCCTTATCAATCAAGCCTGCCCTCTCCTTTTGCGTGGGCTCCTTGTTTTCACTATCTTCTATAGTCACCATATACAATGACCAGGGTGAGCTTCTTAGAACATAATTTTGACCACATCATGCCCCCCTGAACTTTTGCCAATTACTTCTTATTGCCTAAAACAGGGTCCAACCCCCTTCCTGTAGCTTATGAGGATCATGCAGGGCGTGGTCTGCTTTCTGGCTCCCAGGGCTCCCTCTCTCTGTCCCATTCTCTACCCAGGAAGCACAGTGCTGTTCTTGTACCTGCCAAGGACACACCCCTCCCTCCGCCCCTGGGTTCTTGCCTTCAGCACCGTTCTCCAAGGGCTTCACGCGGTTCACCGCCTCACTCCCTCTCCGCAGCTGCCCAGACTTCCCCTCAGAGGCCCACCCTGTCACGCCAGCTGACAGCCCTCACCATTCTCTCTCCTAATAGCACTCAGTGCTCCGACGTGCTTAGGCTGTTTGTCTCTCGCAGCAGAATGTAAGCTCTGTGGGCAGGGGCCTCAGCTGCCTTGATCCCATCCCCAGATGGACCTGGGACACCCAGAATGGTGTCCGGCACAGACTCGGTGTTCAGACGTTTACATGACAATAAGGTTGGCCCTACTGATCCAAATTACAGATCCAACTTGTAGATCTAGCTCATCTGATGTGTTTCTATACATTGAGATCAGATGCAATTAAAAAAAAGAATTGGCAGTTTTTATTCCAAGCATGTTCGTTGTTACTTAAGTTTGCTTTGATTCAGATATTAGACAAATACCTACAAATCTTGGAATCCAGTGGTTCTGGATATAAAATAACAAGATAAGCGTCTGCTTATTACAGCACCCAGTGATTCCTCATTGCACGCGGGGCACAGGAAGAGAATAATTCTGCCTGGATGAAACAGTGAAGGAGATCATCTTTCTCTCTGCCCGCTTAGAAATGAGGGTCTAACCAGGGAGGCGGACATTGGGCAACAACTTGGCAACTCTTTGTGGCACATTACAAAATTCTGACTGAAAAATAGAGTTCTAGGAGGATATAACCGAGTCCGAAGGCGTGAGAGAAGGCATCTCCGAGGGAGTATATAACATTAGGACCTGAACAACAAATAGGGCCAGCTAATTGGGAGGAGAGCTGCAATGTTAGTTTTGTAAGGGAAGGGGTGTGTGCACAAAATAAATTCTTCTGAGACGCATCGAGATGAAGGTACAAGACATCCAGGTAACAGTTTCTAGAACTTCAGTTTTAGTGGACTTGGGAGCCTTTGAGTTTGAAGGCTCGAAAGGGACATTATGCAGAGAAAGGCCAAAGTAGGTTTATAGTTGTGAGTATGCCAAATACAGAGTTTATTCTATTATTATTTATTAATTATTATATTATTTTCCATACAAACAACTGACAATCCATTTTGGCCTCACCTTGTAGAATCAGTCCCAGGCAACGGGACTCATTTTCTCTTTCACCGGCTGTTTTCATCCTTTTTTTTTTTTTATCCTCACCCGAGGGTATTTTTCCATTTTTTGTACAGATAGAGTGGGAGGGAGAGAGAGAAAGGGAGAGAGAGAGAGAAACATCGACGTGAAGGGACACATCAAGCGGCTGCCACCCGCACGACCAACCAGGACCGGGGACAAACTGCAACCGAAGTACGTGCCCTTAGCGGGAACCGAACCCGGGTCTCTCCAGACCGCAGGCGGACACTCTAACCGCTGAGCCAAACCGGCCAGGGCTGTTTTCATCCTTTGATGAAGTTCTATGTGCCAGGTATTTTAGGACAAAGGGAACAACAAGACCAAAAAAAAAAACAAACCAATTTTTTGAAACTTACACAAAGGTGGAAATAGGAAACAGATGTTTCCATCTCAATTAGATAAGGTGAGAAAAGGAAAACTGGGACATTTCCCTGGATTCTTTCCCCCTTCTCGCCATTAAAGATACACCCCAGATGGCCACCCACTTCCGTGTCATTCAAGCCCTGAGAAGGACGCAGACCTCAGCCGGCCACCCCGCCCCCTCTCGTTTCAGTGCTGGCCATCGAGCTTCTGGCGGCCTGCCAGGGCATCGAGTTCCTGCGGCCCCTGAGGACAACCACGCCCCTGGAGAAGGTCTATGACCTGGTGCGCTCTGTTGTAAGGTGAGGTCTGTCGTAATGGAAGTGACACCCTCTCAGACTGTGGACTCTGGCGGCCTTCATGTTTGGCTGACGGCTCGATTTCTTTGTCCGCAGGCCCTGGATAAAAGACCGCGTCATGGCCCCCGACATCGAGGCAGCGCACAGGCTGCTGTTGGAGCAAAAGGCAAGCTGACTCCTTGGGTTGTTTCCTAGTTCGGGGTCATTATGGGAAAGGAGAGCGGAGTGGGTCGCGGAGAGACGTTGTCTTATTCTTTCATTTCCTGGCTATGCCTTGGAAGTGAACAAAAAGGTGCATAAGCCATTTGCAAGGCCACCGAGAAGCTATTTGATCATCTCTTAGGTGTCCCAGGTGGCACCCAAATGTTGACCATCTAAGAATTGGAAGCTGAAATAATTTTTTTTTTTATCCTCACCCGGGGACATTTTTGCATTTATCTTCAGATAGAGTGGGAGGAGAGAGGGAGGAAGATAAAGAGAGAAACATCGATGTGACAGAGACACATCGAGTGGCTGCCACCCACACGACCAGGGCTGGGGACGAACCGCAACCGAGGTACATGCCCCTAGCAGGAACCGAACCTGGGACTCTCTGGTCCATGGGCCGACGCTCCAACCATGGAGCCAAACTAGCCAGGGCTGAAATAAATTTTAGATGGAGTTTTGGAACAAGTATTCGTGGGGAGGAAAGGAGATGACATGTTCGCGATCCCCTTTACCGAGACTGTACTCTCTGATCCAAAAGTCCTTTCTCTTTCTGTAACGCTGCCACCACCACCCCTTGGACATTCAATGCCTGCTTAGATCCGAAGAGACAACAAAGTGCCAGGGTTTTGCCTCAAAGGGCTGTGGGTCTGTCTGGTGCTCTGGTGTGTCCAGCCCACCCCCTGGTGACATCAGTTCCCTCTACTGCTGATTTCCTCTGGCTGCGTTGAGTAGACCGTCTGATAGAGACAGTCACCTAGCACGCTGACTCGTTGTTGTTTTTTTCTTATTCCTCACCCGGGGACACTTCTCTATTTATTATCATATAGAGTGGGAAGGAGGGAGAGAGAGAGAGACAGAGAGAAACATCGAAGTGATAGAGGCACATCAACTGGTTGCCTCCTGCCCGACGACCCTGACCAGGGCCGGGGACAGACTGCAACTGAGGTACGTGCCCTTGACCAGAATCGAACCTGCGACTCATTGGTCCACGGGCCGACGCTCTAACCGCTGAGCCAAACCGGCCAGGGCCTGACTCATTTTTAAAATATATATATTTTTAAAGTTTGTTAAGCCTTTTGTAGTAATTTGTGGTATCCTGGTTCCTAGAATTGCTTGATTTCCCCTGAAATTGTTGCTCTGTTCTTGGGGAACACTTTTTCCCTTTGATCTTCATACCTGTCATTTTCAAGTGTGCCCTGCACCCTTGAGGGGGAGCCCCTTGCTTGCTGCTAACTTGGATGCTAGCAGAGAAGTGTGTGAGAGGTTAGTCTTATTTTAATTGAAACACAATTGGCACAAAACATTATATTAGTTTCAGGTGAACAACATAATAATTCAGTATTTGTATATATTGCAACACGATCACAGCAAATCTAGTAACATCCACCACCACACATAGCTACAAATTATTTTTCTTTTCTTTCTTTTTATTGTTGCAAGTATTACAGATGTCCCCCTTTTTGTCCCCACAGATTGTTTTTTTGTGTGATGAGAACTCTCTCACACAAAAAGACTCTCTTCGCAACTTTCAAATATACAATATGGTATTAACTATAGTTGTCAAACTATGTACATTACGTCCCCATGACTTATTTATTTTATAACTGGACGTTTGTAGCTTTTAACAGCGTGACCCATTTTACTTACCTCCCACTTCCCACCTTAGCAACCATCCATCTGCTCTCTGTATCTATGAGTTTGGTGTTATTTTACTTAATTTTATTTAGATTCCACATATACGTGAGATAATGCCATACTTTTCCTTGACTTATTTCACTTAGCATAATGCCCTCAAGGTCCATCCACATTCTCACAAATGGCAAGATTTCCCTTTTTTAATAGCTGAACAGTTTTCGCATAAGTATTTATATATGCATCCCGTCTTCCTATTTTCTTTGTCCATTCATTCATCCATGGACGCCTAGCTTGCTGCCATGTTTTGGCAATTGTAAAAATTGCAATGACCAGGGTGTGCGGCTGTCTTTTCGAGGAGCTTCGCCCTGGAAAGAATACATTTTCCCAGGGGGTACAAAAGGACAGAGAGAAGAGCTTCCTTGGCTGCCAGCAGCAATCAGGTAGAAAGCAGCTGCAAACCCAGAGCAGGGCCTTAGCTGGAGACGATGTTAGGCTGGGAAGAGAACAGACTGGGGGGCCTGAGGCAGTGCTTCTCAAACTGTAATGTGCATGTCAGTCTCCGGGAGATTCTGTGAAAATGCAATTTGGATTCAGGAGGTCTGGAGTGGGGCTGACATTCTGACTTGCCCCCAGTGGTGCTGATGGGGCTGGTCCAGGGCCACTTCGAGGGTCTGAGGGACAGAGCACGCATGGCAGGGAAACAGCAAATGAGGAGATCCACTGCTTTTCATCACTCAGGGTTTGCTTTAGAAAACACACGGTCGGACCCTTGAGCAACTTTCCCTAATTCTGGCCACACCAAATTCTCTAGGTTTTGCTTGTTTGTTTGTTTTGGCTTGTTTGGCTTTAGAGGAGGAAGCAGCTGAAAACCTCCATGGTAACTTCAGAAAAGTTTTGGACTTTGTATTTTAAAAGTTTTGAATGCAACCAGAGACTAATTGACACTGACCGCGTGTTAAATGCCTTATAATAAAAGCAAGCAAACATGCCCGGCTGGTGTGGCTCACTGGTTGAGCAACGACCCATGTACCAGGAACTTGCCAGTTTGACTCCTGGTCAGGGCACATGCCCAGGTTGTGGGCCTAATTCCTAGTGGGGGGCATGTAGGAGGTGGCCAATCGATGTTCTCTCTCATTGGTGTTTCTATCTCTCCCTCTAAAAAAATCAATAAAGAAAAAACTTTTTTAAAAAAAGCAAGCTCACTGCTGCTACAAGTCCAGGTGGGTAGAGATAATGTTTTGGCCTCTGGTGAAGTTAATGTTTAATGGCATATGGAAACAATGTTGTCAACATTTCGGTTTCATCCTTGTTTCTCAGGTTTGGGAAGTAGCTTCGCCATACATCGAAACATACAGACTGGAGCATATTCCTGAATCCAGACCTGTTTCTCCGACAGCCTTTTCGCTGGAATCTCTACGCAGGAAATCCAGCAGCATCTCAGAGTCTGGGGATCTTTAAAGGGCTTCGTTGTGGAATTGTAGATCAGAGGGTACTTAAACAGCACGCGGCGTTATGCTGAAGGAGAGACTTGAGAACTTCTTTTAGGTAGATCAACTTATTATATAATTCAGTTCTTCTAAAACCTACTTTGGTTAGACTGGCGACAGCAGTACGGTTGCTGATTCGAGCACTGTGTTCTTGTTGGTCTGGTCTGAGACACAGCAGGTGGTTTTTCAGACTATAGGAGTTTTCCTTCTTTAATGCTGTCAAAAGGCCACTCACTCTTAAAGGTAAGAAGAGCAACCACATTGCGTGCGTCGTTTACTCTTCACATTAGAGCCACTCAAATCTTGAAACAGATTGATGGCCTTCTTTTCTAAAAACATTAGACTTTGGTAAACCTGTTTTGTGTGTTTGCCTTGACAAGCTCTCCATTAGTTAACTCTGGCTGATCGTACCGTGCTCTGACTGCTGTTCCTTTACATGCCTTCATAAACAACCCTTTTAAAATCATAATTTGTCTTCCAGCTGCTCTTTCCTCTACTAATTGAATCATAGTAAAGAATGGTCAATAGGTCGATGAGAGGTTTGTGTAAAGGAATTAAGGAATGAATATAAAGATTGCTACAGGAGTGGCTCTTATTGAACTGTGTATTTCATATTTATCAACTGTCACTACACACATTGAAAAGGGGACTCAGATGCTTACACTAGAGTTGGAGGTTAGTATTATCACTTTCTTACTCAAGTCACATTATTTTTTATTAAATATATTGTGGTGACCTTGGTTCATAAAATTATGTAGGTTTCAGGTATTCAATTTTATAATACATCATCTGTATATTGTATTGTGTGTTCACCACCCCAAGTCAAGTCTCCTTCTTGGTTCACATTCTCATAATAACCCTGCATTAAGCCTCCTCGTTTCATAGACAAGAAATCTGATGTTCAGAAGTTAATCAACCCCTCGCTGGAATGTAACCATTAACATGAAGCCCCATTGACAAAGATCGGATGGGGCCAAAGGATGTATTACCCAATATGTTTCTTCCCAAAAAGGAAGTTTGAACGGGCCTTCTGAGCCTGAAGTGTAATATTCCAGATGAAGGATGGGTTGGATGACCTCTTGGCTTCCAAGATCTGTGACTTTGCACCCGTCTGTGCAATTGGGTGCAAAGACCTAGGGCAGGAGTCTGAGGCCATGGCTCTAAAAACTGCAGCTGGTTAAGGAAAGGACAGACACACTTGCCAGACTGCCTACCTGATTACAGCCTAAAATGGATCCAACAGTTATTTCACAATTGAGTTTTCACACTCAATTTCGACCTGTCTACAGGAAAGGAGGAGACAGAAGTTATTGACTCAGTCTTTTCTCTCTTTCCCATTGAGTAGCAGCAAAAAAGTTAGAGGCACCCTGAGTTTCTCCCTTTGAGGCTCACCTGGCTTCTTCACCTGTTGTCTGAAGGAAAACCTTAAAGTGCAAGGATTTTTCGAGCTTCTGCTGTTTCTATTGGTCAAAGCAAGTCAAGGTCAATTTGGGAGAGTAGTACTCAAGAGCATGGGCCTATGATTTGGCATGATTTGGGGGCCATTACTCTAACAACCTACACATACATAAAATCCCATACATGACCTGAAAGTTTTGGGGAAAAAAGATACTTTTCATACTACTTTAAATGTGTGTCTCATTTCTGGATCTGATCGCTGGCTTATTATCTTTTTATTAAACCTTCTAATTATCTCATGAATAACATAATCACTTTGTATTTGGGGGTGTCACTTCTGTTGGAGGTGTTTATTAAATTTAAACAATGACAATATCGCCCTGGCCGGTGTGGCTCAGTTGGTTGAGCATCGTCCATGCACCGAGAGGTCGCCGGTTTGATTCCCGGTCAGGGCACATGCCCAGGTTGTGAGCTCAATCCCTGGGAGGGGGCGTGTGTCCTGGAGGAAGGCACAACAACTGCAGCACCTTCGGGTCATCAGGGAGACTTCCTGGAAGAGGTGACTAAGCTGGTCTTTGAGTGATGGGAGTCAGAGAAGAAGGGAGAAAGAGGAGAAACGTAAGCTAAACTTCAATGTCAGTGGGCGTTATGCCAGGAGACCAATTCTGTGTTTGGTCAATTTCTATCTGTAACCAAATGGTGGCTGACATGGTCCTGGTCCTTGCACTCATGGTGTGTAGCCCAGGTAGTGGGCTGGAGGCTGAAACAACAACAGCAACATGCGGCAGTAAGTAGAGGGCAGGTCATCGACGGCATGAAAATCCATGCTAGTGGGACAGGAGGGCGAGTGAACCTCCACCAGGACAGACCACCTCCGAGAGCTCATGGCTGCGTGAACAGGGACAGATTGCTCTGGCTCCTTGGTAGTTTCTACCATCTGAGTGCCAGGTGTCAAGTCTCAAACCTGCGTTCCCTTCACCATGCCATGTTGCCTCACCTGTCTCCCACAGCGTCTGGTTTACATAGCCTCAGCTCAGTGGGGGTGATGTTGCCAGCAAGGTTTGGTAGAGGCAAAAACAAAAAACACTTGCATGTCACAATGGTATGTGGTCTTCCAAAGCTCAACCCTACCTAAAAAAATCTTATCCCCTAGAAACAAATTTAATTTTTCTCCTGGGGGGGTGGCCCAATAGTTTTAGAGGGTTGAGAAAAGCAATGTTAATCTAGCCCAATGCGAGCACAGAGCGGAGTGTCCACATCTCATGTGCCACCTGGACATCTAGCCCCGGAGCGCTCCTCTCTCCAAAGGACTTGCTCAAGGTGTCTTGCCAGAGTCCACTCACACAACATGTATGTGAGTGCCTGTTATATACACTGAAACCAGATGAATTCTTCACGACAACGCTCTCATTCCGGTCCTAACCTATTCCAAAACACCCAGCGGCCCAGCCAGTGTGGCTCAGTGGTTGAGCGTCGACCCTTGCACCAAGAGGTCGCCGGATCGATTCCCGGTCAGGGCACATGACCAGGTTGTGGGCCCGATCCCCAGTGTGAGGCATGCAGGAGTGGCCAGTCGATGTTCTCGCTCATCAATGTTTCTCTCTTTCCCTCTCCCTCTAAAATCAGTAAAGGAAAAAAACAAAGAAACAAACAAACAGAACAAAACACCCACTGGCTTCCCCTGACTGTAAAATGAAGTTTCAACCAGTGAGCCTGACGTCCAAAGCCCTGTGGAAACTGACCTCACCTTGTAGTCTTGGCTCCCCCGACCCCTCTACTCTAGCAGTGCTCATCACCTATCTCCGAACACGGCCTGATGTCCCATCTTGGAGCCTTTCCTCCCGTCACAGTCTTCCCTACCCCCCAGCTGAGGGTGGCAACCCCACCCCCGCCCAACCTTGAACTGGTTTCTTTTTTTTTAAAATTAATTTATTTTTATTTATTTATTTATTTATTAATCCTTATCCGAGGACATTTTTGCATTCATCTTCAGATAGAGTGGGAGGGAGAGGGGGAGGAAGAGAGAGAGAGCGAGACATCGATGTAAAAGTGACACATCGAGTGGCTGCCTGCCACACGACCCAACCAGGGCTGGGGACAAACTTCAACTGAGATACATGCCCTTAGCGGGAACCGAACCCGGGGCTCTCTGGACCGCAGGCCAACGCTCTAACCGCTTTGTTTGGTTTTATTTTAACACTTGACTTCCCATGAGCTTCATCCTTTGACATTATATTAAGAAACTCATATGCTTTTTCCCATCCACAGAATAACTGCATCCCTGGATTGACTTTCTTAGGTTATTTTGAGAAATTCCTTATGATGATCTGTATGTTTGTGCAGCCGTTCATTAATTCATTTATTGATCACCTGCTGTGAACCAGCCCCCCCCATACCAGATCCTGGGGACACAACAAGGTCCCTGCCCTCTACTAACTCATAACCTAAAGGGAAAGACAGTTAAATTACAATGGTATCACGACTGTATTCGAGGTAGGGGAGCAGGGTGGGGTGGGGAGGAACAGCACCCCAGGCAGAGGGAACAGTGCTGCAAGGCCTGAACAGCCCAAGCAGATGGGGTTTTTGAGGAACAGGTGGGAGTTGGCTTGGCTGGGGTCTTAGGCTGCAGCACTTCTCAGACTTGAATGGACACACGAATCACCTGGGGGCTCCTGAAGACACAGACTCCCATTGAGCAGGTCTGGGGTGGGGCGGATGTTGCGCATTCCAGCAAGCTCCCTTCAGTTGCAAGGGCTTATAGACACTGGCCTGGGAGGACTAAGGCAGTGCCCGGTGGGTATCCTCTTCGGCTTTCCTTCAGGAACAGACGTAACTACTATTTGTTTTGAGTGAGTGTCTCCTAGAGGGAAATAGGATGCACTTCACCTTCTTCTTCTGTAAGTATAAGGACACACTGTTGTGTGGCGTGGGATCCAGGACAAACCTAATATTTACTGTTGGCCTTTCTCTCTCTTGTACGTCCCAAATTCCCACCATTGGCTAGGTGATCCCATACCCTCTCAAGACTCCTTTGCCAAACAGACGAGAGAGAGCACCAGAGCCCCTGTGGGGACAGCGACCTGCCCTGCTACCCATAACATTCCAACGAGGGGGAGCTTGATTTGACTTATGCTGAATACAGTGAAGCCTCACTGGTTCAGCCTCTATTGACCTGAAATGGGTGACAGTTTGGAGAGTCATCATTTACTCCTCAAATAATTTCTTCATAAATCGGACAAAGTTTGATAACACAGCTGTGACCATAAAGATGATTAAAACATTTTAAAAGATTTCAAGTAAACTCAGATGAAACAACTATTTATATAAATAAATAATCATCCATTCTTTACAAGTAATTCTGTAATTTGTTTATTTCCTGAAAAGCTCTGATAGACAAGGCGCCGCTCTACCTTCGGGGCCGTAGGGGAACAATAATAATAGCGACAGCTCATATTTATTAAACGTTATGACATGTTTTCTATACATTTGCAATGTGAAGAATCAAAAACTTAAAAACGATTTTTTAAAAAACTACATTATTGGATTTGGTCAAAACGCACCCATTACAGGAAGGCCCCCGAGCCTGTATGTAAAGCGACGAGCCGTGAGCTGTGCTGTGAGGTCGTTTCCAGCGAGGGTCGCCAAGTTAGACGGGGAAGGACGCTCTCCTCAGGACACACGGATGCCTTCGGAGAGCAGCTAGACAGACAAACTGGGTGGGAACAGGAAAAATGATTTGCTCTTATAGAAAGCTACATTTAAGCTTAATCTGGGGCATATCACTTGGATTTCCCTCTATCCCCCAATAGTCACTAAATATTGTTGGAAAATTAAAATTTAAAAAACAGAAACAAAATGCAAATTTCAAGCCACATCTACCTAGTTGTCAATCTGGTTTCCCCCCACAAATACATTCTTGCGATAATTCATCTTCAGAATATTTATGACAAATCTTTGCGAAATAATTTGTCTTGAGATTGTCATCACAATTGGTTTACCTCTTTGTGTGTCCAGGTGCATATTAAATTAAAGTAAGTTAATCCCTTGGGTTTTATGAGTGGATTAACAAAACACTGAAATACATTTAGGTTTAAGTGACATAATTTTGGTAAACTACTAAGATATTTTAACTTTTAACATAACTGTATTGATGTATTTTATACAATTGAAGTCTTCTCTTTCCTTTAAGATTGGTCATTTTTTATAGATGACTTTTCCTTTAGCTATCACATACTCGATTAATTCATGATGGCCTCCAAACTGGTAAATCAAATGCTCCCATCTAGAAAGAAACCAACATTCCTTCAGTACATACAAGTCAAAGTTATCACTGTCATTAAATGTTAATTTAAAAATACATTTTCTAGTCCTGGCCAGTTTGGCTCAGCGGTTAGAGAGTCAACCTGCAGACCGTAGAATCCCGGGTTTGGTTCCCTCGAGGGGCACGTACCTCGGTTGGTTTGTCCCCGGCTCAGTTGGGGTCGTGTGGGTGGCAACCAGTCAATGTGTCTCTCTCACATCGATGTTTCTCTCTCTTTTCTCCCCCCCGCTCTATCTGAAGATAAATGCAAAAATGTCCTCGGGTGAGTATTAAAAAAATAATAATAAAATAAATAAATAAATAAACATTTTCTAAAAATTTCTTTATACCTAGTTACAGATATCTGGGCTTTAAAAAAAAAACAAAAAACCGACATATTGCCCTGGCCAGTTTGGCTCAGCAATTAGAGCATCAGCCCACAGACCAAAAAAGTCGATTCTAGTCAAGGGCATGTACCTCGGTTGCGGTTCAGATCCCAGTTGGGGTCATGGGGGAGGCAACCGATTGAAGTGTCTCTCTCACATTGATCTCTCTCTCTCTCTCTCTCCCTCCCAATCTATCTGAAGATAAATGGAAAAATATCCTCAGGTGAGTATTTAAAAAACAAACAAACAAACAAAATAACATATATACTAACTAGGCTATGATAAATAATATTTAATAATATCATTTAAGTATTTGATCTTAAAGTAGTTGATTCAGTAAATAATGCATCAGCATTATTTTCCATGGAGAGAGTGGTCTACGACCACGGAGAGGGAAATTCTAGAGCCGCTCTCTTCGGTGGAACGTAAGATCCAAGAGCTGTGCTCGGCTCCCTGGAGTCAAGGATCTAGGCTTTAGAACAAGAAGACTCAAACTGTCACACTGGAGACCCAGATGGCAGCAGACTGCGGGTAAAGAATAAGACACCAGGGCCGGAACAGTGATGCAAGGATTTGGGATCCAGTAGGAATAAGAAGTTAGAGCCGTAGTGGATCAGAACCAGGGCGACAAGCTGTAGTGAGGACATGTGTGGCCTAGAGTCAGCAGAAGGTCAGAAGCCAGGCAGAAAAATAAAAAGCGCATCACAGAGGGCACAAGTCCAAAGTCCAGGTCGACAGAGTAGAAGCCTGGAGATCTAGGAAAGATGTAAGATGGATGAAGAGACCAGAAAACAAAGTATACCCTGTAGTTTAGGACCTGTAGGGATGACTGGGTAGCTTCTGTGCTTACACAGAGATGACACTAACGATTAGTGGAAAAAGTATTTAAACCAGGTCTATACCCTACAATGGGCATAACATAGCTTAGTTGGGAGAACACTCACCTGGATGCATTGATGATGATGAGATCTCCCTGTTTGCCAACTTCCAAAGACCCGTGTGTGTGAGATTTTCCCAGTGCGTAAGCTGCATTGATGGTGGCAGCAGCCAAGGCCTCAGGCATGGACATTCTCATGTTTACACAGGCCAGATGCATGACCATTGGCTGTGGTGGGAAGAAAAAAGTGTTGGAAGAAGGTAACAAAATGTCTATTTGCGACATTTCTTAACACAGCACAACAAATAATGGTGATTAAATGTGTGGGTGAAAATGGCTAAATTGCTATGGGAGAACTTAAACGTATACATAAAGGTTCTCATACTTTATAAAAGGCTCCTTTATTATGGAGAGTGCCCCCACGTATACTTAATATTTATGTACAGCTTTCCAAGACCCCTAGTGTATATAATAAAGCTCCCCTCCATGCTTACTCACTGAAACTTCTTTGAACTAATCTTATTCTCCAAGAGGGAAAATGGGTTATTATAAAACCACAATGCCCAAGGACAAATGAGGAAATAATGCATATAGAACCTTTTCTCCTTTCTCTATTCCTGGAGGCATTGATGTGTGCAGAAAATTACACTACAGTCTATATCTTTTTTTTTTTTTCTTGTTACACAGGAAAAATTTTTTTGATGTTTGGTATATTGCAACAGAAATATACTTAAATTACTTATATGCTTGGTAGAAATTTGATACCCTGCTCAGAAAGACATATTAAAAATGATTACCATTGAAAAGCAATAGGCATTAGGGTTGAAGTCACTGCCCAAAGCAACTATTACTCCTTCATCTAACATCTTCCTGGCCCGTGGCTGCTTCAGTCTAAGGGAGAGAAAAAATGATGTCAATGTCCAGAACTGGAGCTTTTGCAGAATAGATGTTCAGAATGGAAGAAGACTTGAGATAGCCAACCCCTTTGTCTTCTGGAAGAAGAAACAGAAACTCAAGATGAAGTGATTAGTTATTGATTGATATTTCCTGATTGTAGTCTACATTAATATACGTGTATAAAATCATAACAAGTTTCAGGAAAGCTCTGAAATGGTTCTTTCTTCTCCCTTGTAACAGTTACTCCAAGTCTTGTTTCCCCACCCTAAGGCAGAGTTTCTGAACCTTGGCTCAGTTCATTTCTTGGGCTGCATAATTCTTTGCTGTGGGGGGTTGCTCTGTGCACGGCGGGATGTTTAGCAGCATCCCTGGCTTCTATCCACTAGATGTCAGTCGTGCCACTTAGTTGTAACAAACAAAAAATGTCTCCAGACATTGACAAATGTCCCGAGTGACAACATCACCCGAGGTTGGTAACCACTGTCCTAAGGCCATCACTGCAGAATCACCTCCGTGAAAACCATGCAGCCCAACCTCACAGAAAGCACCTGGTTCTAAGAGAGTAAACTGTCTCTTGGATGCCGGTCACCCTGACCAGACTCGGTGGTTGTCATGGATGGCATGAGGAGAGTCAGCGATCTCAGGTCTCAGGGGGTAGAATTAGAACAATGGCAGTTACACAAGGTGCACGAAATGTTTTCCGTTCACACAGGGCATACAGCAAAATTCCTGAGGAGATGTTACAAAACACACACCCCCTCTCCCCTCACCCCCGGGATTTACGAGGGTTCTGGTACACAGTTATGGCGCCCACCCTCATCTTCTCAGAAAACCGCTCATGCAGATTCTGAATACTGTTAAATATCCCTAATATCTTATGCATGGTTTTTTATGTTTGTTTTGTTTTGTTTTTGTTATTTGAGAGGGAGGAAGGGGGAGAGAGAGAGAAACAGCAATCCATTGCCTCCTGTAAGTGCCCTGACCAGGGACTGAACTGATTCCTGCCCTGACCAGGAATCATACCTGCAACCTTTTGGTGTACAGGACGTTGCTCCAACCAACTGAGCTACCCAGCCAGGGTTTAGCCATGTTTTTTAAAGTATGAAGCCCACTTCATTTTTTTCTGATTATAAAGGTCATGCATACTGATTTTTCTTTAAATTAGAAAATCCTTAAACTAGTAATAAAGAAAAAGGAAGCGCCGCCCTCCCCAGTAATCCCACCACTCAGAGTCGATTTAATTCCGAGCTCCGAGTAATTCGTTTCTGAACATCATTCCAGAATTGGCATCTTTCATGAGCCAAGTTTTCTGGATCTGCATTCGAAGGGATTTGTAAGGGCCATGAAATAATAGTTTGGCATGTTGGAAGTCTGTGTCTTCACAACTTGTGCTTGCAGCTCTTGTGTGGGGGTGAGGACGACCTCACCTCAGCATGTAGGCCGTGGAGGGCAGAAGGACAGCGGAGCACCTGGCTGCTGCCATGGCAGCAATGCCTTCATCACTCACTTCTTCCAGGTGACTGATTGCCCGGGCTCCCAGCTCAGCCCCAAGCTAAGCAGAATGAGTAGAGAGAAAAAGATTTAACCAACAGCAACAACAAATCAATAAAGTGCCATAAAACTGTGTTTCCTACAAAGATATAACAGCACTCTACTACTAAGATTTCTTGTCAACTACCTGTCACAAGCACAATCCCCAAAATAGACAGTGGTTTGTGATGGACATTCATGTGAAAAGTAGCTGGCGTGCTGTTTCAAAAATGGTTCCTAGACACAAATGTTTGCTGACATATACACCAATAATAAACACTCAGAAAGGGAAACAAACAAACAAGCAAAAAAACAATCCCATTTACCATTGCAACAAAAAAATAAATAAAATACCTAGGAATAAACTTAACCCAGAAAGTAAAAGACCTGTTCCCAGAAAACTAAAGGACACTGAAAAAAGAAATAGAAGATGTAAAACAGTGGAAACATATGCCATGTTCATGGATCAGAAAAATCAACATCATTAAAATGTCCATATTAGCCCTGGCCGGTTTGGCTCAGCGGTTAGAGCGTCGGCCTGCGGTCCTGAGAGACCCGGTTTCGGTTCCTGCTAAGGGTGCGTACCTCGGTTGCAGTTTGTCCCTGGCCCTGGTCGGTTGTGCGGGTGGCAGCCACTCGATGTGTCCCTTTCACGTCGATGTTTCTCTCTCTCTCTCTGTTCCTCTCCCCCACCCCCCACTCTACCTGAACAAAATATGGAAGAATGTCCTCGGGTGAGGATAAAAAAAAAAAAAAAAGTTCATATTACTCAAAGCAATCTACAGATTCAATGTAATTTCCTATTAAAGTACCAATAGCATATTTCACAGATCTAGAACAAACACCCCAAAAGTTTATATGGAAGCATAAAAGACCCCAAATAGCCACAGCAATTTTGAAAAAGAAGAACAAAGTGGGAGAACACAATGTCAGATAACAAGTTGTACTATAAAGCAATCATAATCAAAAGAGCCCGGTACTATCACAAGAACAGACATATAGATCAATGGAACAGAACAGAGAACCCAGATATTGACCCAAGACAGTATGCCCAACTAATATTCGACAAAGGAGGCAAGAGCATACAATGGAGAAAAGACAGTCTCTTCAATAAATGGTGCTGGGAAAATTGGACAGCTATATGCAAAAAAAATGAAACTAGACCACCAACTTACACTATACACAAGAATAAACTCAAAATGGATAAAAGACTTAAAGGTAACTTGTGAAACCATAAAAATCCTGGAAGAAAATGTAGGCAGAAAAATCTCAGACATCATATGTAGTGGAATTTTTATTGATACATCACCTAGGGCAAGAGAAAGAAAGGAAAAAATTAATAAATGGGACTACATCAAACTTAAAAGCTTCTACACAGCACAAGAAACCAGCATCAGATTAAAAGAGAACCCACTCTCTGGGAGAATATATTTGCCAATCATACATTGGATAAGGAGTTAATATCCAAGATATATAGATTACTCATACAACTTAACAAAAGGAAGACAAAGAACCCAATTAAAAAGTGGGTGGAGGATCTGAATAGACACTTCTCTAAACAGATATACAAATAGCCAAGAGACATATGAAAAAATGCTCGTCATATTTAATCATCAGGGAGATGCAAATTAAAACGACTATGAGATATCACCTCACACCTGCCAGAATGGCCACCATCAACAAGTCCTCAAACAACAAATGCTGGTGAGGATGTGGGGGAAAGGGGACTCTACTGCACTGCTGGTGGGAATACAGACTGGTGCAGCCACTTAGGAATACAATATGGTGTTTCCTCAAAAAATTAAAAATGGAACTGCCATTTGACCCAGTGATCCCACTTCTTGAAATATATCCTACGAAGCCTGAAACAACCATCAGGAAGAATATATGTACCCCTGTGTTCATAGCAGCACTATTTACAATAGCTAAGATCTGGAAACAGTCCACATGCCCAACAGTAGATAAGTGGATAAAAAAGCAGTGGTACATATACACAATGGAGTACTATGCAGCTGTAAGACAGAGAGATCTCTTACCCTTTGAGACGACATGGAGAGACCTGGAGAGTATTATGCTAAGCAAAATAAGCCAGTCAGAGAAAGTCAAATACCACATGATCTCACTTATTTGTGGAACATAATGAACAAAATAAGCTCTTGACCAAAAGAGAGCCATAATCATGGAAGTGGGAAACAGCCTGACAAACCTCAGAGGGACAGGGGGTGGGGTGGGGGTGGGAGGGGTGGGAAAAGATAAACCCAAGTACTTATATGCATATATGCACAATCAGTCAATATGGACACTAGGCTGAGGAAGGCAGGAGGAGGGTGGGAGTGAGAAGGAGGGGTCAGTGGGGAAAAAAGGGGGACATCTGTAATGCTTTCAACAACAAAAAAAATGCTTACTGACATTCTTCAGACATTTGCTAAAAAAGAAAGTTTTATGGATCTTATGAATCAGAATAAAACATTGAGTAATACTGGTAATAAAAATCTATTATAGCATCATACAATCACAATAAAAAGGTATTTTGGAATGCCATCGTTCTCAGTGAAAATAGATTAGTCAAGAAAACAAACTAAAAATGTGGATCATGTATAATTTGAGGATACTATTTGAGCCTGATTTCTCTCCAGACGAAAAGTTTGGGTTAGATTGTTAGAAGAAAACCAAGACAAGGCAATGCTACGGTGCTCACGGAACCATGCCTTAACGTGGATTTCTTCTCATCTTTGCAATTTTACACACATGAACACACACACACACACACACACACACACACACTTTGCTCAGGATGAAAGGTGGTATGTTAAGAAGACATGTTCCAAGGAAAGAAGAGTAGAAAATATTTGGCATTATACTGTGGCCCAGGGAGGCTGCTGTCCCCCATACCAGGGCAGGGAAGAGCTGGCCCCTCATCAGCAGCTGGCTCAGGTCAAGAGCGTTTTGGACCACAGGACAGACTATGTTCCCCAGGGAAGTTCTCTTCTGGCCTTGGAAACACCCTCACTTTTCCAAACTTTATTTGCTCATCCTGGGTATTGACCTCTATTGATGTAATTCACTAGTCACTCTCTACGAAGAAAAATATCTTGTTGACCACCCAGTTCACATTCACTTAACAAATATTCAACAACTGTTTACTAAGTAAAGTCCATCGGTATGGCAGGCACCGTGCTCATCTCCAGGGCCAGGGCCATGGAGGACCTGGCTGCAGTCCTCGGTGTTTGCTGTCCAATAGGAACCACAGAGGAGATTTTAACCCCGTGAGACAAATACAAGAGGAGCTATAACCGCTGTTGGAGAGGCTTGGGAAGGACCCCAGAGACGCCTTGGCTAGGATGAAACATGAAAGGGAGTTCGAATTAGCCAGACAAGGGTTAGTTCAGACTAGAGAAACCACATGTGCAGAGGTATGGGGTAGTCAGTGTACTAAAAGTCATTTATTGTGGCTAGTACGTGGTAGACAGGGTGAAGGAGATGAAAAGGGGCGGGGGAGATAGAGAGGTAAAGAAGGGCTGGATCCTGGCAAGCCTACACATAGAGAGTTTGGAATTTGCCCTCTGAGCCTTGAGGTGGTTTTAAGCAATGGAGAGGAAGGATGGATGCATGATGGGGATGGATTAAAGAAACAGATTAAAGTAGAGGCCAGCCTGAAGGCAAGAGTAGTTGTTACAGGAATCCAGGTGACAGCTGATGGTGGTTGGACTTAGGCAGTGGGGTGAAGAGAGGCGGACCTAGAGATATTGAGGAGGAAAACTGGCAGGACTTGCTGGTTGGTTGAAATGTGGTAGGTGAAAGGGAGGCAGGAGTCAAATGATGTCGGGTTTTTTACTTAAGCAATAGATAGATAATGGTGTCATTCACTGGGGCAGGAAACACAGGGCATGATTTGGAAGTGATATTAAGGGATCAAGCAGAACATGTTGCGGTTAAGACACATGTGGGGTGTCGTATCTACATCTGTATTTAGCTCTGCACCCGACTCAAGAGCTGTCTTATCCACTGATGAATTCTCAGTGCCTACAACAGTGCCTGGCACACACTAGACATTCAAATATTTGTTGAAAGCATGAATAAATGAATCTGGGCAAGACGCATAGATTTGAAAATCATGTTGTAGCTATTAACGGTGTGCTTCACCGAAGTTCACCTGGATGATGTCACAGAAAGACCCTAGGAGCTGCACGTGAAATGAATAGACTCTGCTGGTGTGGCTTTCTGTACCAACCAAAAGAGGTTGTGAATTTAGTCAATGAGACTACAAAGGTACTTCTTTTTCTACTAACATCCCCAGCAGGTGATAATAGAAGAAAATGACCAGCAAAAAAGTAAATTTCACGGTGTTTGAACAAATTTCCCCACTCTCTGCCTTTTCAGAAAGCTGCTCCTGTCGTTGAACAAACTAGGTAAGTTTTCCATAACATGAGTGTTGACAAAGGAAAAGCAAACAGTCAATCGTACCTCCGCAGCCTTCATCGGGTGGAGTTCATCCCCGTGGAAGTTAATCTGTAGCCCTATATCTTTTCCACCTTGTAGAATCCTTCTGGTAGAATCCAGATCAAAGACACCCTTCTCACAGAACACATCTATATTGTCAACGTGAATCTGCCCATTTCTGCCAAGTTCCTTCAGCTTCGGGAGGTGGTTATTGATGATGTCATCAGCAGCTTCAGTAGCAGTTTTTCCTCTGGGGGAAGAAAAGAAGATTTCCATGTGCAAATATTTTTTTAATTGGAGAAAGGATTTTTTGGTGCTTTGACAGGCTGGGCCCTTAAAATCAAATAAACACAGAGCTCCACCACTTGCTGGCTATGTAACTTTTTGGACATGTTATTTAGGTGTCATTTGGCAAATTGCATACTCTGAGACCCAGGCTTCATCACTAGAGATCAGATGCAGACCTCAGAGGCTTACTGGCAGATGAAGAAAATCTTTGTAAAACTTTGGTCCTGTGTTTGACACATAGAAGCCTCTTGTTCAATGAACCATTTGGGTGGCTAGATAGAGGTGGACCATGAGGAGACAGGCACTTATATATAATCCTCAAGACAATCGTATAGAATAGGGTGTTATGTAGCTGTTTTACAGGTTACTAATTCATGTTCAAAAAAGTTAAAAGATGCCCTCAAAATCACCCAGCTGGATGTAGCCAAGCTGGATTCGAACCCAGGTCTGTTATCACTCCAAAGCCTGAGACTTTTCTACCAAGTCACACTGTCCTTCCTACTGAAAAAAAGAAACTAAACCAACAGACCATCACACACCTTAGAGTCCATCTGAAAAAAATCTGCTTTCTATAGACAGGCTGTCCCAAAAGTCTTAGGGCAGTTTAAAGCTTTAATGATTTCAGAAGTCCTAATACTAAAAACATACAACAGACATCATTGGAAATGTTATCTATTTGTGTTTCTTTTCTACTTAATTCATTTTGTAACTTTTTAATAATAAATTTTAATGTTAATTTTTTTAGTTCCTCTGAAGATGGTACACAAAAAATTAGCATTGAAATTTCATTTTTTAAAGTTCACAAAACAAAATACATTTATAAAATGTATAAATTCTTTTTCAAATAATTTTTGTAAGCCTGTAGCATTTCTATATCTACACTGTCAAAACTTCAAACTGCACTGAGACTGTGGAGAAGCCTGTGAATTTCCAAGTCTTGGATTTTTTTGGATCTTTTCATTGGGGAACTGCCTTCCAGTCTAGAAATTCCAGAACAGATGAGGTGCAGATGCAGAAGGAGACAGCCATTACCGTAGAGCCACTAAGGAAAAACATTTTTAACTAAAGGGGGAATGTTTGCTGTTAAAACAAACATAAACAAAGATAAAAACTGTTCTGGGTCACTTGACTACAAGATCGGACCTATCTCCTAAAGAGTGTTACTGTTAATCACGAGAGTGCTTTTATGCTGTCATGGGAAGCTACAAGAGACATTTCTCTTTCTTAATCAAAAGAGTTTTGAGCATCTCCTTTCATCATTAAGGGATTGGCAAAGTGATGGGTCTGGTGGGGGTCACCTTCCTAAAACCATGTGTGAGATGACTGACAATTAGACTCAGAACACCTTTCCAAAGGCTTCTTTCTACTGGTCTCTGCAAAAACTAAAGTGCTGAGCCACTGCTAGAGAAAGCAGCCCCTTCAAGCCCGACTTAAACCAGGTGCCCATCGGCTGAGGTTACTTTGGCACTGAGTGGGCCCCGCAGTAAGTGGCGGAGATGCCGATGGGCATCTGCCGCCGGGCGCGCTCGATCACACGGAGCATCTTCAGCTCTGTCTCCAGGTTGAGGCCGTATCCGCTCTTGCACTCCACCAGCGTGGTCCCCGCCCTGGTCATGCACTGCAGCCGCTGCTGGAAGGAGCTGAACAGCTCCTCCTCCGAGGCCTGGCGCGTGCACTGCACCGTGAAGTTGATCCCTCCTCCAGCCTGGTGGATATCCATGTATGTGGCTCCTGCCAACTGAACACAGGCTCGCCGTTAAGCGGGACAAATCAGGGAGGTTGCAGGCAGGTCTATAGAACCTACCTGTAGGGATAATATTCAGAACGACTCACAATCAATATGCCAGGGCACCAGCTGATTAGAAAGTGGGGGGGGGGGGCGTCCCAGGAAAGTACTGGGGTGGCAGAGATGGGAGATGTGGTGGAGGAGAAACTCGTGAGCTCAGCTCTGTTAAAATGAAGATTCTCCAGCTAGAATTTTAAAATAAAATTATTATACTTGAAATGATTGCTAATCCTGTGCACAGTATAAAGATTGGAGACAGTTACAAACTAGTTAGTTTTGCTGTAATTTATTTTCCATAGTCCAGGCAAGCAAAAATATCCATTAAAAAGACATGTAGGGTCCTGGCCAGTTTGGCTCAGTGGTTGGAGTGTCAGCCTGCGCTCCAGAGAGACCAGGGTTCGGTCCCGCTAAGGGCATGTTCCTTGGTTGCAGTTTGTCCCCGGCCCTGGTTGGGTCAAGCGGGTGGCAACCACTCGATGTGTCCCTTTTACGTCAATGTTTCTCTCTCTCTCTCTCTCTTTCTGTTCCTCTTTCTCCCTCCCACTCTATCTGAACAAAAAACAAAGGAATGTCCTCAGGTGAGGATTAAAAAAAAAAAAAAAAAGACATGTAGGGGCCCTGGCCAGTTAGCTCAGTTAACCCTGATTTGCCAAGGTTTCGGGTTTGATCCCAGGTCAAGGCACACCCAAGAATCAACAATGAATGCATAAATAAGTGGAACAACAAATTGATGTTTCTCTCTCTCTCAAATAAATTTTTATTTTATTTATTTTATAATCCTCACCTGAGGATATTTTTCCATTTGTCTTCTGATAGAGTGGGAGGGGACAAGAGGAGGGGTGGAGTGAGAGAGAGAGAGAAACATCAATGTGAGAGAGACACATCGATTGGTTGCCTCCTGCACAACCCCGACCAGGGCCGGGGACTGAATCGCAACAGAGGTATGTGCTCTTGGCCAGAATCGAACCCGAGACTCTTTGGCCCGTGGGCTGATGCTCTAACCACTGAACAAACCGGCCAGGGCTCAAATCAATTTTTTAAAAAAACATGTAGGCATATGTTGCAAAGCCTGATAGCCTACAGACTCTTTAGAAAAAGATTTGTCTATGTTGGTTTATGCTTCATTTTTATTTAACATCATTCATTGAAGTTACCTTCATTGCAAACTCGTGAACTCTTTCACCAGCCCATACTGGATGTGTGTGTGCATCCACCAAACCTGTAATCAATAAATGAAATCATTGTTAAAGTTAAGACCTAGAAAACCCTTAGATAGCAGGCCAGCTATACCACTCTGCTCTTGGAAAGCGTGATGGTGGTCAGCCATCTTGGAGGGCATGGAGGAGAAAGAATTTGTCTGTTAGAGCCTGGCTCTAATAAAGGAGGGTCACTCAACATGACGAAAATATCCTTTCAAAAATACAGCTCCTAGGCCCTGGCAGGTTTGGCTCAGCAGTTGGAGTGTTGGCCTGCGGTACAGAAAAATACAGCTCCTTTTACCCATTAAGCCATGCTCAGCAAGGGAGCTTTAAAAACAGGATGTCAAATCTATTAGTGAGCAAAACTAAGGACTATATCACCAAGGAATAATCTGGGCGTGAAAACAGAATCAAAATCCCTATTGTCAAACTTGAGAAGAAAAAATATAAAATCAGAAAGATGAATCTTTCTTCATGAAAAACTATATATTTTTATTAAAGATAAACTATAAAGCAATCACTTGGAAATTTTGTTTACCCAGGTACAATTCAGTAAAGTATGTCTTTCCAGAATATTCAAAATACCTAACAGATCAAATGACTGACTAGTGGGTTCTGACTTGGAGTAAAACCAAAAGTCCCTATTCAGATCACTTTCTATGTATTCTGCTCTTTCTGATAAGGTTTTACCCTGACTTTATCTTCTATCTCCCACGAGCTGGTAGAAAGCTGTCAGATATACACAGTACACACTTTAAATGTATAAATCTTGGCCTCTGTGTTTGTACAGAACTCAAAATTTGAGCAACTTTTTTCAGATCATTACATGAAGCCATAAAACATAGATCATGTAGGAGAGAATGGTAAATAAACTGATTCTGTTGTCAATCACCAAAGATACAACTTCAGTGAAAAAAAATTTTTTTTTCCTTTTCCATCTACAGATGGGTCCTTTGTTCACACTCTATACTAATTTAAAGTGTATTCTAGTAGTAGTTTTCCCTGTTTGCCTTTCCTACCCAATGTATTAATAAAATTCTTCTGACGATTTTTGAACCTAAATACAACACAGCTGGTCTCTGTTATGTGAGTGGGAGGAAGTGGAATGAATGGATGGGTTTGAGTCCCAGGTTGCCCTTGACCCATTAGCAATCTTGGGTAAGATATTTCACCTTACCCTAAACTTCAGTGTTCTAATCTGTAACATGCCAGTAATGATACCTACTTTACAGGGCAGTTATGAGGATTCAACATGCTTGTAAAGCAGCTAGACATTTAATAGTAGAAACTCAATAAATTGTTGTTATTATTATATTTTAATATCACTGTGAGGCCCTCTTTAAAACAACCTACTACTCTTCCTCTTTACATTACTAAAACTGCATTCAGGGTTTTACTGAAAAGAAGCTGATACCCGGTAAGATGCATTTCCCAGAACAGTCAATTCTTTCTTCAAATGTTTCTTCTGAAAACTCTTTTTGGATAACATCAGCAGGACCAATGGCTTTTATCAACCCATCCCTGAAGAAAAATCAAGAAATAATTACTAAAGTTTGGGGAAATAGTGTGAGAAATCTGGCTAATGATTTAAAGTATGTTATCAATGTCTCTTGGTGTCAGTCAATATTTATTGCGTTTCCTTTTTGAAGGTGTGTCTTTGGAAAAAGTTACTCTAGCCACCTGTAAGGCAAAAAGTCAACTCATGTGCAGCAGAGAATGCTAGTTGTTCTTTGAGATCAATGTTCCCTTTCCCCATGGTGCTAGATTCCTAAAATGTAGCTGGAACACATGACCACCCAGAATGAAGATTCATTACCCAGTCTCTTGGCTGCCTGGTGCAGCCATGAGACTAAGTTTAGCCAATAGGATTGTTTTCTCTTCCTCTTTCCTACAGGCTGGAATATAGACACCATGAGAGACAGAGCAGCCATGTCGGATGTTGGAATTATTGGAGAAGAAGTGTCTTGCACAACAGAGCAAGCTAGTGAGGGCCTGAATCCTCAGGACTCCACACTGTGGCCATCAGCTATACCTGGCTTCTTAGTTTTGTGCAATTCCCTAAGCTGATACTAGCAATTTTTTGACAGTAACACTGGAATTGTTCTTATCCCTTTGTTAATTAGAAACAGACACTTTCCCTAAAAGCTGGACTCGTACACAGCCCTAAGCAGCCTCAGCTCAAGGGTGAGACTCATCGCTCTTGCACAACCGTCCTGCCACGTAATTCTCCAGTTCGAATTGGCATCCAACCCCCCATTCCCGCTCCAGGCCCATCCTCCCAAACTGGCCGTTCTTTTATTCACTTCGAGCGGGAAGCACAGGTGTGTTGAAAACGGCCTCCTTTTCTGGTAGCTGAACCGTAATTTCCTATTACTCCAAACCATCACCATCTAAACGTTTTCCGTGGTTCTCAAGCTTTAGTGCACAGAAGGGGGTGAGAGAGGTATCTGTAAAAATTCAGGTCTCAGAGCTCCACCCACAGAGATGCTGACTCAAAAGATCTGGGGACGGGGTGGGGGGCAGGTGGGTGGTCTGAAATCTGTCTTTAAAAAACAAAACTCAGGTCATCTGACGCAGGTGGTCTCCTGGCCGCACTTCAAGAAGCGGTGGAAAGAACGCCAACCCCTTCTGATTGTTGGACAGTATTTCATCAGAAAAGGCGGGACCCTGCAGCAGTCCAACGTGTTGGCAGCAGGTTCCTGCACGGCAGCCCTGCTGTGGCTCCCTGGTTGGGGAACGCCTCGACCCGCTCTCCGTCCGCAGCGCGCGCGGGAGAGAGGAGCGCGGGGCCGGGCCTTACTGCCTCCGGGGCCCTCCACCCGCAGCACTTACGTGCCCACCACCAGGCTGGCGCCCTCCAGCACCGCCGGGCTGCGCAGCGCGTCCCGCGCCAGGAAGCGCTCCCCGCGGGCGCACACCAGCACCACTTGGCGCGCGTTCTCCAGCAGGAGGCGGTGGTCGCCCGCCATGTCGCCGCGCCTGGGTCCCGAGTCACCCTGCTGCGCTGCGCGAGGGACGGCGGCGGAGGGGCAGCCCCGCAGGCGGCGCTGCCGGGCGGGAGGGAGGAGCGGGGGCGGGCGCTCGCGGCCCTTCCCAGCCCGGGGGGATGCGCGCCTCCTCCCGAACCGCGGCAGTAAAACCCTGGCACCAGGGAGCAGCGTGGCACCAGGGAGCAGCGCGTCGATTAGTAAGCACTGTTATAAGGAATATCGTCTTTTTCGGTCGCCTCGTCACATTCGGGTAAATGCGGTAGAGAGTATGGTCCCTACTTCACAGATTTTAAAACACTGAAGTTTGGCCTGGCAGGTGTGGCTCAGGGGTCGAGGTCGACCCATGGACCAAGCGGTCACGGTTCGGTCGGAGTCCGGGCACAGGCCCGGTTGTGGGCCCGATCCCCAGCGCATGCAGGAGGCGCCAATCGAAGTTTCTATGTCTCTCTCCCCCTCCCTTCCTCTCTCTCTAAAATCAATAAAGAAAAAACTTTAAAAAGTAAATATGAACTGAAGTTCCTCCCCGAGAGACAGAGGTGGGCTGCGACGAACACGTGGCCGGATGGAAGGGGGTCACTGGCGAGGGCGCCTGGAGAGGGTCAAGGGGGAAGAAACCTGGCGGGGGCAGGCGCAGGACCCTGGGGCAGAGCCCCGGCAGCGAGCGGAAGGCGGGAAACCTCTGCCGGGGGGCGGGGGGCACCTGGACGCGGGGGCTGCTGCCCGGAACCTGGAGGGAGGAGAGGGGGTGCGGGGGCGAGTTGCTGCTGGGTCCGCGCGGCCGCGACGCCGGGGGGCGGGTGCCGCGAACTTTTCGGTTGGCCAGCTCCGCTCCCGGATCCCCTCCAGCGGGTTTCTCCCGGATGAAGGGCGACCGCCGTGGGGGAGGAGAGAGCTGAGACTAGAGAATGGATCGGCCCCACCTTCCTGGAAAGAGTGAGTGAACCGTTTTCTGGATTCAAACTCCTTGAGGTTAAACTGTTTTCAGCTTCGTGCCCTCCACACCCCCAACTGTATCTGGTCTGGTCTTTCCTCAAGTTACAGTACATCCAAGGTTGGAGACAGAATCAAGTTTTTTAGGAAGATGCTCTATAATTCTCACCTACATCTCTTCCCGATGATCAGTTGCTGCGAAAACACTGTCAGGCTGGGGTTGTGGTTTGGTGCTTCTTAACTACTTCATTAATTTATATTCTTTTAGTAGAAGCTTTGTGTTGTGGAACATACAAAGACAGGAAGGGCACTTTCCTTGCCCAGCACAGACTACAACCAAAAGGAAGACACTTTATGGATACAATAACATACCATAAAGGCAAGCTTGAGTCCCCTAAAACCATAAAATATAAGAGCAAATCAATTTAGTGGCATTTTAAAGCCATTTTAAAAGAACAGAAAGCACAATAAATAAGAATATACTTTACATCATAGTGTGTCCATAAAAGAGAGAGACCAATCAAGTAGAAAAGAGAGAGGGCAAAGAAAAATAATTGAAAAGAATTCAGTAGAAAATATGAGTAAAAGAGAACCAAAAGGAAAACAAAAATCCACAGATTATTCGTAACAGCTCAGACACACAATCACAAACGGATGTGTGTCTCTATATATGGTTTTTAAAAGAAAGGTATAATATACAGAAAGAAATAGAGAAAAGTAGAAATAGTGGAAAATAGAAACACAAAATCACTAATTCATAGAAAACATTAAAATTTTATATTTAAAAAATTTTTTTTTATTGATTTTAGAGAGAGAGGGGAAGGGAGAGGGAGGGAGAGAGACAGAAACATAGATGAGAGAGACATAGTTTGGTCACCTCCTGCATGCCCCCCACTGGGGTTTGGGCCCACAACCTGGATTGTGCCCTGACCAGGAGTCCAGCTGGCTACCCTTGGTGCATGGGTCGATGCTCAGCCAGTGAGCCACACCAGCCAAGCTTAAAATTTTATATTATAAAATTTCTGTAAGACTTAAATGTAACATTTTGCAATTATAAGTATATTTGCAGATTTATGCAATTATAAAGGACGGAGTGAAATTATAGGAAAATAGAAGACTTTGAGGTTCGATAAACTTGTCTTAATCCCATTTCTGTTACTTATGAACTATTTGTTGTTGGGAAATTAATTTTCCTGAGCCTTAGTTTTCTCATCCATATCATGGGGATAATTGTTTCTACTTTATGGACTTGTTTGAGCTTTAAATAAAATCACTTAGCCCAGTGCCTATCTCTAATAAGTCATAGCTATTATTATTATTATTATTGCTATTAGTTTATTTTAATCCTGCTCTTTGTCTTGCTGGTCAATTAAGTTAAAGATTAGATTTCAATAGTATTAGATTTCAATAGCATTCTGGCTTGCACCATGTACCTAAAGTTCACAAGTTCTTGGCAGGTCTAAAAGAAATTGTATTTTTTAAAACGGAGATTTATATCTGTGGGTGAACTGAGTGCATCCACAGTCCAGATAAACATTATTGTGGGAAAAGTCCCTGCAAATGAGAGGTTTTCAGAAGCAAGAAGGGTGAGAGTGCACTGCCCTCCGCCCAGGTCACTGTTAAATAATTCCAGAGAGATAGGGATCGTGTTTTTCCTTAGGAATAACCAATACCCTATAGCACTTCTTAGTTTACAGAGTACTTTTTACATCATCCGACTCACATTGGCTGATCTCTTTTCCCCAGTCTGCCTTCCACTTGACCTCCAGTTGCTTTTTTCAGTTTGCAAAAGGGGCAGTCAGAAATGTCAATGGAAAAGTCCACACAACATAGCTAGCTTGACGCCAGCAGGGACTTAAAGGTCAAGCTGAAGGTGATTTCCTCATCATTGTGCTCCGATTCTGACCTAATCAAAAAAGGCAGCCATTGGGCAGCCCAAGGACCTGGTGGCTGCTGGCTCTCGGGTAAACAAAAAATTGCTAGCTCTGGTCTAGAAAGAGGACACAGTTCACAGCCCTTTTTCCTAGTGTTTGTCCAAGTGGGTGGAAAGGAGGTGGGAAAATATTGAAAAGCATTGGGTCTGAGAGAATCTGTCTAAATCTTCATTTGCATATGGGAGATAAAGTTCTTTATCTCATATTGAGAGAATCTGGAAATCCATTTTCATTGAGTTTGTAGAGTTGAGAAATTCAAACACAAACTTCTTTGAATAATATCTGGTAGACATTGTTATTGTTAATTTTATGTGGACTTCAGGTTCGGGCATTCTGAAACCCCCCGCCCCTTTCCCCACTTCTGCGAAGCTTGGAATGATAAGAATTCGCACTAAGGTGGGTCAGATTCCCCAAATTTGCACTGACATTGCTGGTAGATTCCTCTCAAATGACCTGGTTTCCAGAACTTTAATTCAGGATTTCTCACAGAAGCTAGTTGTCAGATTTCTCGATTCTTCTCATACGCTGGTAGTTATTGACAAGACAAGAAAGAGGACACATCTGGATATCTCCTTAGAAGATAGTAGGAGCAATTATTTCCCTGCCAGCCTGCCGTGACGAAGCACTGTGCATACATTATCTGTGTTTGAAAATTGCAACAAGCCTGTACAAAAGGCGTTAGTGTCCATACTTGATAGAAGAACCTAAGGTGCCCTGAGTTCAGTTGGGTGGGCCTAAAAAGGGGGGGGGCTGATAAGAATCAGAGGCAGGATTCAAACCCGCTTGCCCCCAAGGCCAGAGTTTTTCCTCAGTGCGTTCATGCTGCCTCTGCTATGATACACATCAAAGGACCCGGCTCAGTGACCTATACATATAATTGCATAATGTTAGAGGAATGTAAAAAGTAAATAAATCACCCTGGCCGGTTTGGCTTAGCAGTTAGAGCATTGGCCTGCGGTCCCGAGAGACCCAGGTTCGGTTCCCGCTGAGGGCACGTACCTCGGTTGCAGTTTGTCCCCGGCCCTGGTTGGGTTGTGCGGGTGGCAACTACTCGATGTGTCCCTTTCACATCGATGTTTCTCTCTCTCTCTCTCTCTCTCTCTCTCCCTCCCTCCCTCCCTCCCACTCTATCTGAACAAAATATCCAAAAATGTCCTCGGGTGAGGATAAAAAAAAAAAGTAAATAAATCAACCAGCATGGTGTTCACTTGGTAGAACAGTATATGTTTCATGTACCTTAGATGTCTAATATAAATATCAAATTTAGCATGTTCTGCCCTGGCCAGTTTGGCTCAGCGATTGGAGCATCGACCTGCGGTCCAGAGAGACCCGGGTTCGGTTTCCGCTGGGGGCACGTACCTCGGTTGCAGTTTGTCCCCGGCCCTGGTTGGGTCATGTGGGTGGCGACCACTCAATGTGTCCCTTTCACGTCAGTGTTTCTCTCTCTCCCTCCCACTCTATCTAAACAAAAAAATGGAGAGGTGTCCTCAGGTGAGGATTAAAAAAAAAAAAAAAATTAGCATGTTCCAAACTGAAACTTTGCTTGTCCCAACTGCTCCTTCCCTCATAGCCTTCTCTGTTTCTCTCTCTCTGTTGATGGTAACTCTAACCTTTCTTTCCTGGGCCCTTTATCTCATACCCCACATCCAAACCATCAGCCAATTACGTAGGTCTACTTTTCAAATTTATCCACTACTATCCCAAGACCCCATTATCCCTTGTCTTCCAACAGGTGTCCCGATTGGACCCTCAGCTCCTTCTATATCATCCTCCCTTTTGAAAGATGGGGAATTGAAGCGTGAGGATTAAGGAGCATGGGAGGCCATGCTCTTAGTCACTAGCCTATACCACGTCTAAAAATGATGGTTTGCAGCCACACAGCACCATTTAAAATCCCTGATTGCTCTGAGCTCTTGACCTTCTTCAGTTGTCAGACGTTGGATTTGAACATGTATTTTAGAAATGAATTTGTAGGCATTTGCTATACAATTCAACATTTTCCCTCTCTTTTGGTACGGAGCCATTGTTTAGTCATCATGCTATTTTTATTTTGCACAACAAAGACATTCACAGGCTTTGACTTTGTTTTTTTCCCCCTGGTTGGTGAATCCTATTGGTTTAGTTCAGAGAACTTTATGATCCTTTCCTAGGGATAGCTGGTTCTCTTCTTTCACGTTCTTCATCAATATATATGGAAGTACAGAAGTATAACAACTCCTAGAGACTATTCATGCTATTTGCATGTTCTGTGACTTACTGGAGAGGTGCAATGACAGATACCCACTATTAAGTATTGGCTTAGAGGAAGAGGAACTTTCCGTTTTTCTATGAGTGAAAAAGTACCAGAATCCATGGATAAGGTGTCTATTGCAGGTACACTTTCTAGGATAAATGGAATGGGAGTGGGGATGGAGATGAGAGAGAATTCAGATAGATAGAAGGATTGAAGGAACAAAGTATGATAAGAATGAGGTGAGCAGAATCTCAGGAGTGGAGATAAGTGCATAGTGGAAATTTGAGAAAATCTCCTCCAGGTCTCTGTGTATCAACCCAACAGACTGTCATCAGTTTTTCACCAGCTCTTCTTTCCCACCTGTCAGAATGAACCAAACGTCTGTGAAAGAGAATCTTCAGTAATCTTAAGAAGTACGATATAAATGCTGTAGGTTTTTATTAACTTTTGTCTCTCTTATAAGAGAAAAATATAATTTAAAATATAAAAAATATAATTTCTTTTTTATCTTTGTTTTTGTAATAATTGGAAGTAAACCCACATACTAATTAGTAAATAACTGAGTTCTGTCTGTAGACTAGGCACCCTGCCTGGTGGTTTATACACATTGCCCCATTAAATCCTCATGAGAGCCTTAGGAAATGGAACTATTATTCCCATTTTATGGACTAGGAACCCAAGGCTCAGAGATGCTAAGCAATTAAAATGTAGGCTCCATGAAGACAGTAGTTTTTGTCCTTTTTTGTGTGTGTCTCATTGTTTAATTGCCCTATCTCCAGTACCTAGAACATAGTAGGTACTCGGTAAATATTTTCTAATGTTATATGAACTTGCTTGCACATCTGTGGATACAAAACCAACAGGCTTGTCCATGTCCAGAGTCTGTGACAGTGCCTCTGGGACACTTCACTCTTACCTTTTTTATTTTATCCTCACCTGAGGACATTTTTGCATTTATGTTTAGATAGAGCAGGATAGAGGGTGGAAGAGAGAGAAACATCGATGTGAGAGAGACACATTGAGTGGCTGCCACCTACATAACCCCAACTGGGCCGGGGACAAACTGCAACCGAGGTACGTGCCCTTAGCGGTAACCGAACCCAGATCTCTCTGGACTGCAGGCCGACACTAACCACTGAGCCATACTGGCCAGGGCTGTTCTTACCTTTTTATATAAACTTCTGAATATCCCCTTTCTCCTCAAATGAAAATACCATTGTTATTATATTGTTGTAAAAATCACACAAGCCTATTGAGAAATTTGGGTACAAAAAAGTATAAAATTTTGCCTTACATGCAAAATTTAAGGGGGAGGCAAAAAACTCAGTAATCAAGCATTTAAATCCACTGTTTTCAAAAATAAAAATTAATGCAAAAAATCCACGATGAACAAAATATCAAAAATTTAAATAAAGACAAACTCTGTGGGCCGGGACAGGGTATGGCAGGTGAGCAACTCATTCTCAGCGTCATACAATGCAAAGTCACCTTCTGTCAATATTCAAAATTCTGATATTTTGTTTATCTTTAATTTTTCTGCATTGATTTTGAATTTTTAAAAATTGCATTAACATTTTATTCATGATAACTGAGTTTTATGGGGCATTTCCTTAAATTTTGTAGGTAAGGTGAGTGCCCCACTCAACTAACTTCATCCCAAATCTGGTAAAAATGAAAGGAGAGATAGCTCCAAATTAGAGATCATTGTTGTTAACGTTTGGTGAACAATTTTTCAAACACCTCTGATTTGGCATGTGTTTTTTATCCACACTATTCCTGTTCTTTTGAAATATTTTGCTTTTTACTTATATAGTACACAGAAGTAAATAGCGACTACAGCATAGTTTTAAGGGGCCACGTGGCAATTCATTTATGTGTATACCATAGATATTCAATCAACTCCCTATTTATTAAATAACACGGCAACAAACATTATTGTATGTACTTTTTTGCCCAATGATCTGATTATTTTCTTGGGATAATTTCCTAGTAGTGGAATTGCTGGGTCAAAGGGTTTATTTGTGCTCTATTTTTAAAAGCAATAAAGCGTCCCTGGCCTAGTGACTTGGTTGGTTGGAGCATCATCCCATTCACCAAAAAGGCTGCAGGCACATCCCCAGGTTGTGGGTTCCATCCCCAGCCGGGGCTCACATGGGTGGCAACCGATCAATGTTTCTCTCTCACGTTGATGTTTCTCTTTCTCCCTTCCCCTCTCTCTAAAAATTAATAAAAACATATCCTCAGATGACGGTTTAAAAAAAACAATGAAACCTATTTGGGAGTTACTGGCAGTTGAATTTAGTGGCTTTATGAAGAATGTATAGAATATTTTAAAGGTATTTTCTTTTCTTTGGACAGGACCAGGAGACAAAATGTCGTCACGCCTTTTGCCGATGCCACCGACTTCTGGAGGTGAGGAAGAAATCAGCCCCCGAGTTCTCTCTTTGTGCCTAGTACGGTTGATCCCCAGAGTGGGTTGGGAGAGTAAGAAAGAAGAACGCTACGCAGTAAACATCAAACATAGTCTCTACGTAAAGAAATTATTAACTACCTGCTAAGAAAGTTCTCTTCTATATTCAATTCTCAAAAGAAATCTTTAAATCAGAGCAGCATTAAAGTGTTGTAGCTAGCAAGATTGCCAGTCTTTCAAGACCTAAAACCATTAATTCAGGTATTTGCCATAATAAATGACGTGAATAACTACACTTGATGAAAATCTGTCCTCTCCTTTCCTTTACCACAATTCTGTCCTTATCCTTCAAGGAGTTAGTATTTATCAGTATACAACTTTTCGCTTATAAATTTGACAAAGATTTAAAAATTGGATAACACCATGAGTTTGTTATAGGTAACAGGCACATTATAGGAATTCTCTTGGAAGGAAATTTGGCCCTACCTGTATTTTGAATGAAAATATTTGGCTGCAACTGACAGAAAATATAAAAACAACAGGGTTTAACATGATAGAAGTGTATTTCTCGCTTAGGTAGCGAAGTCTGGACATACGCATTCCAGAGTCCATATGGAGACTGACATCAGGGACCTGGGCTGCTTCTAGCTGGTGCTGGCCTATAGTCTTGATCCTAGGTGGCTGCTCTATACCCGTGATCACACCCATCCATACTCCTGCTAGAAAGGAGGTGAAAAGAGGAGGCGAGGGGTGTGCCCCTCCCTTTTAGGACCTGTCCCTGAACTTACACTCACCACTTCTGACAGCCCCTTGCCCAGAACTGAGTCATATGGCTGCATCCAACTCCAAGGGAGGTTGAAAAATATAGTTTCTACTCTGGTGCCCATGGGCCAAGCTAGAATCGAGGGCACTATTCCTATAGAAGCATGGAGAATGGGTATCAGAGAAACACCAAATTATTTGAAAACCATTTAAATAGGGTGTTGGGAAAATTTCCCGAGGTATGTTGGAGTCGGTCTCCCAAGGATGACAAGCCGAGATCAAAAAAAGAGGTTGACAACTCCGGAATTAAACAGAATTTATTAAGAGAACTTATGGATGGAAGACAGTCTTGGGTGTCAGCAAGAAAGTAGATCTCCACACCCAAAAGGGGACAGGGGCTTGATACATGTAGCCTCTAGGAACACAGGTGGCCTGTAGCCAAGTGACTTGTGCTTGTTAAGAGGTGTATGTTCCAAAGCATTAAACAACTCAATGGGCCTCATTACCTAGGTAAGAACATTCCTCTCAGGTGACATGAACAAACCCGTCTGGGGTGAACTGTCAGTCTCTGAGAGCAACTCACTTCTTTTTTTTTTCATCTTCATTCGAGGATATCTTTCCATTTATCATCAGATTGAATGTGAGGGAGGGAGAGAGAAGGGGAGAGAGAGAGAGAGAGAGAGAGAGAGAGAGAGAGAGAGAGAGAGAAACAGCAATGTGAGAGAGACACATCAACCAGTTGCCTCCCACATGACCCAACCAGGACCAGGGATGAACTGGAACCATGGCACGTGCCCTTAACCGGAATTGAACCTGAGACTCGTTGGTCTGTGGGCTGATGCTCTAACCGCTGAGCCAAACCAGCCAGGGCGCAACTTGCTTCTTAAGATGGCCTTAGTCACAGCAAACACCAGAGACTATCTTGCCTAATATAGGGCCATGTCGGCAATTTATTCTACAGATATGTTTGCACAAGTGATTAAGGATGTGTACAAGAATAGTTATCACAGCATTGTTTATAATAGCAAAAGACAGGGCTCAACCACAGTGTCCACTGGTATGGGACTTGCTATATAAAGTAATGGGGTACTAGATAGCTATTCTTTTTTGATGAGATAAATATATAAATGCTGGCATAAAAAAAACTCCAGATATGTTACTAATTTTAAAAAACCAAGATTCAGAACAGTAGAATGGTATGCATTGAACAATGTCTATTTTATTAAAGGGTTTGTATTTCTTTGTCAAGAACTGTGAGGGATCTAAGCAAAGTTAACTGCTGTAAACATGTATACGTTTTGGGTGGCCAAATGTTTTCATTTCTCTTGGACATATGGCTGGGAGTGGAATGGTTAGATCAGGTGTCAGCTCTGTGTTCAATCTTTGGAGAAACTGCCAGATTGTTTTCCAAAGTGGCTGCATCGTTTTGCATCCCCACCAGCAGTGTACGAGGGTTCAAGTCCTCCGCCTCCTTGCTAACACTTATTATTATCCCTGACTGTTTTTAAGACTCCAGTCTAGACTTCGGATCTTCCTAAGGGTATTGCAGGTGTCTGTTGTGGCAGAAATGGAGGTGTAAGGGTAATGGTGGGTATATTTGTAGGGGTGGGAAGAATCAACATGTTAATATCTCAAAATATGGTCCCACTATCCTGTAACAGACCCCCTTATCTATTTACACAACAAATATAGACTTATCCCCTGTGAATCACTAAGCACTGCTCATTGCCATGAAAAACAGACAGATGAGCTGGGGCTCCTGTCCCCCTGGATCCGGGCCTCACATCCAGTTGGGGAGGTGAGGGTGACCGCACCCCCTCCTCAGAGACCCATGGACCCATCTACCCTAGCTGGCGGGAACCCCACCATCTGGTCAACAAAGGAGGGATGACAGAAGGTTTTTCTTCTTTCTTCTTCTTTTTTTCCCCCTAACAGATACAGTAAATGATGAGTCAACCAAAAAGGGGAAGCCTTATAAGATCTTTTTCAAAGATCTCTTTCTTTTCAAAGAAAATGAAATGATGGCAAGGAAAAAGGTAAGATTTTATTACAATCCCAATCCCGGTTAATGTTAGAAACATCCTCTTATCAGTCACTTTTATGAACTTTGCTGGGAGAAAGCATGGAGTCAAGATGTCAACATATATGCCACACACTGTGCCGGGGGATGAATGTGTGTACACACACACACACACACACACGTGACAGAACAGCATCTGGCCCATGGTAGGGACCTAATGATCATCCCCTACACACCACTACAATCCAATATGACAAGTATGGGTATACCCCTGTGAGAGAGAGACATTGAGTGGCTGCCACCCACACGACCCCAACTGGGGCCGGGACCAAACTGCAACCGAGGTACGTGCCCTTAGCAGGAACCGAACCTGGGACTCTCCAGTCCTCAGGCCGATGCTCTAACCGTGGAGCCAAACCAGCCAGGGCTTTATTGACTTGAATGACCACATTTTTTTCACTTTTTCTCATTCCTGAAATTGAGATCCAGCTTATATAGATGGGATGCCATACTGTTATAATTAGCAGTGCATAAAATAATACTGCATCTTACAATAAGTGGCATCTTAGAGTTGATGAAATATAGTAAGAGGCATACGAAGGAAATCTAGAGAAAGTGGTTGTTGGTGAGAAGAGGGAGCGGTGGGTGGTGGTGGTGTGTGTGTGTGTGAGCGCATGTGTGTGTGTGTGAGCGCATGTGTGTGTGTGTGCGCGCGCATGTGTGTGCATATACACACAAAGTCTTCACTGAGGAGATAAACAGGAGCAGGATTGTTAAGAAAGTCAAACTTTGCCAGGCAGATACAAGTAAGAGACTGTATATGTGTGTACTGGGGAGGAGGAAGGAAGAAGAAATAAAAGTGGAGGAGGGGATGTCATTTGGGGATTATTTGGTATGAAGCTACATCAGCAATGAGGCTCACTTCCCAGTCATGTCTTACAGTTGATCTCACTACTTACATTGCAGAGTTCAGATTTTACAACGTTTGCTTTGTACATTCCTAGAAGCAAAGGTTTATTACAGGATTAAAAAAAAAAAAATGAGGAAAATATCCAGGAGAACCCAATAACTGATTCATCTGCAGGGTGATGGTTTTACGCATATGTCCTATAGTTTGATTGAAAGTATCCAAAATTAAATGGAGACAAGATTCACAAAATCAGCAGGCTGATTTTTATGTCTACTGGGGAGGTCTATGCCCTCTCAGGTTCTCAGTTCCCCAGAATCATTCCTTTCAAATCCGTGAATCTCCAAGCCTCTGTATTTGGGGCAGCATGCGATTGTGACAATAAAGCCAGAATAACATCTTCCAGTTTCATATTTGTCACATCCATGTTTATAGTAAGGGCTGAATGTTTTGACTTGTGTGCTCAGCTTCATATGGGAAGGAATTTTGAACTAAACACAGTTCTTCAGAGATAAGAACTTGAGGTTGCTTGTTCAATGTATTAGTAATGAGAAAAGGACTTGATGCCAAAGATATTCTTCATATATGATCACTATTTTAAGAAAATACTGTTTTTGGTATATTAGAAATTCTTTTCAACTTTCCCACTTGGGCAGGAAAAAATGTTGAACCGTAACAGGAAAATGCACCAAAAGTCTACATTTTCATCTCGAATGAAGAGTCGTTCACACCTGAGCAAGATAGCATTCTCCTTGGACACAGCTACCAGCTCCTTTGAAAAATTTGGGCTGGATCCTGCTCTTGTTCTCAGATTAACAGAAGGTAAATCTAAATGATTGTTTGTTTAAAAACATTGTTTTGTCTCTTCCGGGGACGGGGTCTTCAGGCCCTCACAATGATGCAGCGTTTGACATACCGTGGGAGGCTGTCCCACAATCCAGCCTCTAACAAAACTAGGCTGTCCCGAACCCCTGGTAACAGAATTGTTTACCTTCATACCAAGAAGGTTGGGAAAGCACCAAAGTCTGCATGTGGCATGTGCCCAGGCCGACTTCGTGGAGTTCGTGCCGTGAGACCTAAAGTCCTAATGAGGTTGTCTAAAACGAAAAAACATGTCAGCAGGGCCTATAGTGGATCCATGTGCGCCAAATGCGTCCGTGACAGGATCAAGCGTGCTTTCCTTATCGGGGAGCAGAAAATCGTTGTGAAAGCATCGAAGGCACAAGCCCAGAGTCAGAAAGCAAATAAAAAAATGAAGCTTTTTTGAGTAATAAAAGCAATTAAAAGGCTCAAAAAAAATAAAATAAAATAAAAACATTGTTTTGAATATTTACTGTTAATATCAGATTTGGTGGCTTTTCTGGAGGTGAGAAACACAAAGTGTGCTGTCTTATAGTTTTGTGGAGGTTGTAAATCGGGGTTGAGAGTTAGGAGAAAAATCTATTTTAGCTTTCATTTTGTTTTTTGTTTTGTTTTGTTTTGTTTTTTATGTATCACGTTTATTGATTTGTGAATATTGTACCAGCCTTGCATCCCTGAGATAAATCCTACTTGGTCATGGTGAATAATCTTTTAAATATGTTGCTGGGTCCAATTTGTTAATGTTTTGTTGAGGATTTTGGCATCTATGTTCATCAGGGATATTGGCCTGTAATTTTCTTTCTTTGTAGTGCCTTTATGTGGATTTGGAATTAGGATAATGCTGGCTTCATAAAAAGAGCTTGGAAGTCTTCCTACTTGAATTTTTTGAAATAGTTTGAGGAGGATAGGTATTAGTTCTTCTTTGAATGTTTGGTAAAACTCCTCTGTGAAGCTGGCTGGTCCAGCACTTTTGTTTGCTGGGAGTTTTTTGATTACTGCTTCAATTTCATTAGTTGTTATTGGTCTATTCAGGGTTAAATAAGAAAGCATACTTTCCCAAGAAATAGATTGCTACTCATTTTCATGGCTCTAAGGAAGAAACTCACTGCCAAAATCACACAGTATTACAGGTAATGGCTCTGGCTATTTCTTTATTTATTTATTTTTTTATCCTCACCCGAGGATATTTTTCCATTTTTTTGTACAGATAGAGTGGGAGGGAGAGAGAGAGAGAAACATCGACGTGAAGGGACACATCAAGTGGCTGCCACCCGCACAACCAACCAGGGCCAGGGACAAACTGCAACTGAAGTACGTGCCCTTAGCGGGAACTGAACCCGGGTCTCTCCGGACCGCAGGCTGACGCTCTAACCGCTGAACCAAACTGGCCAGAGCTCTGGCTATTTAAATTCAGTTCTCTAGAACTACATTTAAGAGAAGTCTTTCTAAAGAGAAGTCTTGATTGTCTGGGCTATACAACTCATATATCTAGAATCAGGTGTAATCTGTTTTAATGACCTATGGTGGCAACATGCTCAAATACTACAAACTATTAATTCTTGCTCTGTGAAAGAGGGCAGTCTAGGAATCAAAGCGTTGTGGCCATTTCCTACTTATCAGATCAAGAAGTGTCTACTAATGAGATAAAAAGCAGTTTGAAGCTAGCAAGGTTAAAGTGGCTAATACTAGAATGATAGAGTGATAAAATCTCTCTCCAAAATGAGTCTTACTATTCAATTTTTTTAATTAAAAAGGAAGACAGGAAAGGAGGGAAGAACGAAGTGGGGGGTAGAAAGAAGAAAGGAAGGAATGAAGAAAGGAAGGAACGAAGGAAGGAAGGAAGATTGAGTATCCAGGATTTGCTGTGGTAACTTAAACATTTCCCTGGCTCCCAAAGTCAAGGCACTTTCTCAAACTGTGGGGAAAAAAAAAAATCAGAGAACAAAAGAACCACTTAGGAAGGACCTTTGGATTCAATAATTTATGTAGAAAAGGGAAGCCATGTTAACTTATTTAGAAGCTCTCAGAGGTGTATATTCTGCACTATTGTATTAAAAAGCATCAAACAATAGGCAACACAGTGATGTCAGTGACTGGACCTCAGACAGGGCAGGTCTAGGTTCCGGCTTCGGTCTCACATCTTTAGTTCACCTCTGTCGCATGGTGATCCCTGAGTCACCAAGAGCAGTTTAGCCCTGGCTGGTTTGGCTCAGCGGTTAGAGCATCAGCCTGCGGTCCAGAGGGACCTGGGTTTTGTTCCCGCTAAGGGCACGTACCTCTGTTGCAGTTTGTCCCTGGCCCTGGTTGAGTCGTGTGGGTGGCAGCCACTTGATGTGCCCCTTTCACATCGATGTTTCCCTCTCTCTCTCTCTCTCTCTCTTTCTCTCCCTCCCTCCCTCCTACTCTATCTGAACAAAAAATGTCCTCAGGTGAGGATAAAAAAAAAAAAAAGCAGTTTAAATGACACATGATATGTTTTAGAAAGTGTTCTGCACAAAGTGGCTAACTTTAAAAAATTCTTACTACTCTAACAGTTGTGAGATAGATAGTTAGGAGTACGACATTGCAGATGACCTATTCGACATCACGGGTGGTTAACAGAGGGATCACCGGTCACTTAAGGGTAAATGAGGTAGGGTAGACTCTTAAAAAGGAAATAGTAAAACCATTTGTTACTATCCAAGGCAACCCAGGCTCTGTCAGCAATGGAAATCAGATTGTCAGTTTCTGCTGATGACACAGGCAAGATATTTGGACATTTTCTTTTTTTTTTATCCTCACCCGAGGACATTTTTCCATTTTTTGTTCAGATAGAGTGGGAGGGAGAGAGAGGAAGAAAGAGAGAGAGAGAGAGAAACATCGATGTGAAAGGGACACATCGAGTGGCTGCCACCCGCACAACCAACGAGGGCCGGGGACAAACTGCAACCGAGGTACACGCCCTTAGCGGGAACCGAACCTGGGTCTCTCTGGACCACAGGCCACCACTCTAACCGCTGAGCCAAACAGGCCAGGGCTGGACATTTTCATTTAAAATTATAAAGTCCCCCTCAGACTCTTTCTGACCAAAAACTGATTGGTATGAAACTTTTATTTCCCAGCCTTGCATTTCCTGCCTGAATTCTGATTCAAGACAAGCCTACATGATAGTCAGATGAGCAAGTGATCCCTCCTTTGGGAGACCAGGTTACTTTATTTTTGTGTAGGCAACAGTGGCAAACTGCTAAATCACCATCAGAGAAATTACACAGGCAGCTGCCATGGATGGATCACTAGGCTCATGACAGGACTGCCACTTCCGCTCCCTGCAGTGGCGGCAACACCGCTGGATCACATCTCCGAGTGACCAAGTGCCCTGGTGTCAAGGACTATTTCTATAACAAAAACTTTCATAAGTATTTAAAAAGAAACTGTGTGCTGACTAGGTGCTTATTGCCTTCATGTACATTATTTTATTTCACCCTCAACAAAATGCTGTTCAGTGTTTTTGCCTCCTCTCTTTATCTGATGAAAATGGCTGTGAGGTTAAGTGACTTATTCAAAGTCATTAAGTGGACGCAGAATGTAAACCAATGCCTGTCTGACTCCCACCCTCACAGAACCATTCATTCATTGATGATTAGAGTAATAATCATTATTACTATTGAAAAGAAAATTTAATTTTTAGATAAAGTGGGAGAGAGAGAGAGAGAGAGAGAGAGAGAGAGAGAGAAACATCGATTGAGAGGGACACATCAACTGGTTGCCTCCTGAACCACCCCAACCAGTGCCAGGGACGAATTGCCACCGAGGTACATGCCCTTGGCTGGAATGGAACCCGCGACTCATTGGTCCACCGGCCGGCGCTCTAACTGCTGAGCCAAACCGGCCAGGGCCTGCTATTGAAAATGTAAGTGATCATTTATTCCAGTTGTATTTTGGAACTAATGATAGCTAACGATCATTAAGAAAGTACGTACTATGTGTTCTAGAATATGGTGCCTCGTTTCCTTCTCCCTACACCACCACGAGGTAGAGGGGAACCGGAACCTACCCGCTCGGGGTCATTTATGCTGTGGTCACACACCACTCCTGAACCTCGGTGGCTTCCAGCAACAGAGCTTTATTTCTAAATCACTGTTCAACTGGGGTGCTTTTCACTGAGTCCTGTACTGACGGGAGAGCCCCTGGCTGCGCAGAGGCGGAGAGACAGAGCCGGGTGCTGGCTCTTGAAACGTCTGCTTGGGAGCCACACAGGTCACTCTGGTCCCCCCCTGTGGGCAGGCCTGACATCGTGGAGTGGGGTTGGGGTGGGGGGACGGAGAGAATCGCACACAGAGGGGCAGCAAATATTCTAGAACAAGAACGTAATCCACCACAATCAGTGCCCTGGTTACCGAGGCGTGGAGGGGGCGAGTCGCCTACTCGGGAGCGCGGCGCGCAGGAGGCGGCGGCAGAGCCCCGGAGGGCCGCGGGCCTCCGCCTGCAGCTCGGCTCGCTGGTGATTTGGGAAATGCTATTTTTCTTTCTACGTGTATCTAGAGTTTTATGAAATGATTTTATTTGATATCACATTCTGCTGGTTTTTCCTGAAGCAAACATTATTGAAATGTGGCCTCCATATAATTTTTCCAGAACAAGGAATCCTGGGAAGGGAACTTTGGTATTTTCTGTTGCCAGATGGTAAGCTGGTTGTCATCTTTTCCTTTCCTGCCACAAATTTGGTTTTGATCCCCAAACCCACTTTGCCTGAAGACTTCAGTTTTATGTCTAGATTGGCCAAACAGTTAAGATTTAGAACAGTTTGGTCGTGTTCACTACTGGCTTAGGAGGCACATACTCTCCTTCCAAGTGTTAGCTGTGTGATCCTGGTCAAGCCCCTTGACGCTCAGCTTCAGGCCCTCACATACAGGAGGGGGATAGTGCCTTATCGGGGGTGTTGTTAGGATTAAATAAAATGATGATTTAAAGTGTCTAATAAAATTCCAGGAATATTATGGACTCAAAAGAAATGGCAGTTACTCTTATTAAATTAGTTTTTAAGTCCAGATACATACTGTATGCAATAATGGAATACCATAGGTTTTATTTGCTACATCTTGGAGGGATAATGAACTAAACCTAAGTCAATTTTAATTTTCTTTAAAGGTACAGACACAAAAAGGACTCTTCATGAATTTATTAATGACCAGAGAGGCAGGTTTCTGCTTGAGGTAGTACAACTAATTTTTCTCCCATTAGCCAAATAGAAGTCTTCTTGCATAGCATTGCCAATTTTTCACCTTGACATTTTATATTTTCATTGCATGCCCAAGTCTACCGCCCTTCCTATCCTCCCCTAAGCCCGCTTCAATCAGGCTTTGGTCCTCCTCTTTCCATCAAAACCACGTTGTCAAGGTTACCAGTGGCCTTCCTACTGCCCAGTTAGAAGCGTCACTTCACTGTCTTCCTTTCACGTATCTTTTAGCAGCAGCTGGCCCACTGGATCACTTTCTCTTTCTTGAAACACTTTCTTCAGCTGGTTTCCAGGATCCACTCTCTCTTGGTTCTTTCCCGTCACTGGCTGCTCACTCCTTTACAATTTTCTTTTCTTGTTCCTCCTCTCCTTGATCTGCAAATGTTGGGATGCCCCAGGGCTCACTCCTCACCCTGTGCTCCACCCACCCTCCTCCAGGCCCATGGCTTTAAATTCCACTTCCATAAGAACAGCTTCTAATGTATTTCTCTAGCCTGGCCTTTTTCCCTGACCTCCAGACTCACAAATGCAACTGTAGTTCTTAATACCTCTTAGATGCTCAATGGGCAGCTTAGCCTTCACATTTCTGTAATGTGGTCCCTGCTATACCCTTCCCTACCCCTGAAAACCTGCACCTCATAAACAGCAATTCCATTGTTCCAAGGTGCTTAGGCCAAAAATATTGGAGCTATCCTCAACTCTACTTCCTTACAACCCATATCCAAATATACTTCTATTTTTTTCCAAATATATTCATAATCACACTCCTGCCCTGCCCCTGCTGTCACTGTAGTCCATGTCACCAATAGCTCTTGCATAAATTCTTATGACTTCTAAACACTGGTCTCTTGCTTCCACTTTTGCTTTCTACAGTTATTGTGTTCTTCACACAGCATTAGAAGTCTGTACTCACCCATGTCCTCCTCTGCAGAAGACTGTTAGTGACTTACCTGGTGTCCAGCTCTCTCCCTCTGTGACCTTGTTCCTACCACTCTCCCTTTTGCTCCATCTGCTCCAGACACACTGGCCTCCTTGCTGTTCCTGGGACACATCAACCATGTTGTTGCCTCAGGGCCTTTGCACAGAGGCACTTCCTTTTGGGAGAAACATTACTTCCTCAGATATCTGCGCGATTTGCTCCCTACTTTCTCCCAGTTTCTGTTTAATTTTCACCATATCAGGGAGGCTTTTCTTGACTACACATATGGCCACCCCTGCCCTTACCCACTGCCCTTATCCCTCCACTTTTTAAAATTTTTTAAATATTTTCTTTATTGATTTTAGAGAGAGAGGAAGGGAAAGGGAAAGATAGAAACATCGATGAGAGAAAACATTGATCGGCCACATCGTGCATGCCCCCCATTGGGAATCAGCCCACAACCTGGGCATGTGCCCTGACCGGGAATTGAACCGGCAACCTCATGGTTCATGGGTCGATGCTCAACCACTGAGCCATACCAGCCAGGCCCTTATCCCCTTTAATAGACTCCCCCTCCTAGAATGTATACCCCATAAAAGCACTTTTGTTTATTTTGTTCATTGCTCTATTAACACCCCTTAAAAACAGTCCTGGCACACAGCAGTCACTCAACACCTGGTGAATAAAGTAATAAATGAAATATGTTGTTGTTATAAACTTAGAATATCTAATTATTAGTTGTGTGTTTTTTTTAAATTATCTCATTTACATAGTTTTAGTTAATTTGTATTATAATGTATGTGGCTGTGTGTATTCATAGTTTATTTTCCATGCATGGCATTAAAAACCCAAGTGGATTCTTCTATTCTATACTAAAAAAATAGAACTTACCCAGGTGGTGTGGCTCAGTGGTTGAGAATCAACCCATGCACCAAGAGGTCGTCAGTTCAATTCCCAGTCAGAGCACATGCCCAGGTTGTGGGGAGCATGCAGGAGGCAGCCATTCAACGTTCTCTCTAATCAGTGTTTCTTTCTCTCTCTCTCTCTCTCTCTCTGCCCCCCCCTTTCTTTCTCTAAAATCAATCCATAAATTAAAAAAAATAGAACTCGATGTCAGAGTTGGATTTGGAGATCTAAACGGGGCTCTTTGAGGCTGAGCGCTAGCGCCCTGGGCTGGACGGGAGGAATGCCTCGCTGGCCCAGGGGAGCGGAAACTGCTTCTCCCTCGGGGCTTCCTGCAGGAGGGCGCCTCGAGGCTGCAGACAGCCAGTGTTCCGATGCCCAGAAAGGACTGGGGGGCACTGTGGGTGATCCCAGGTGGACCTGCTCTTCGGAGGAATATGTAGCTATTTTTTATTCGTGGGGCCCAGCCATTTTGGAATAATATTAAGCTTCATCATAAAAGTAAAGAAAGAAATTAGTCTCCCTTACAATGATCTTCCAAATCAAATTCCTTCATAAAATAAAGGCCATAGCCCCACGATTCAGATATTCAATTTTTTCTAAAACCAAGGCTCACTTACAATGCAGGTTATCTCCCCCTTTATTGTGAGACTGTTGAAATGTGCTAGAAATGTGGACTAATATTCCGGACTCACTTGTTTCCAATATTCCTAGTATACTCTGTCCACCAAAAGGAACACAATCACCAAGTTTGACAAATACATAGCAATGAAGGAACGGCAACTCCTGAAGGCAGAAACCAAGCTCCAAGATGACGCAATGGCCTTTGAAGAATTCCTTCGAGAAAATGACCAGCGATCTGTCGAGGCCCTTAAAATGTTCGTGTTTTCACTCTGGCCAAAGCACTTTTTGCCTCCCTCTTCCTTCTTTGTAGTTTCTCAGAACACAAGCCCACACAAGACAAACTAACAATTCTCTGTTACTTTTCAGCGCAGCACAAGAAACTATAAACAAGCTCCAAATGACAGCAGAGCTCAAGAAAGCGAGCATGGAGGTCCAGTCAGTGAAAAGGTGAGGCCGGACACCGCCTTTTTCTTCCCGAGTGTCCACGCCCCATTCAATCTTGTTTGTGCCTAGCAAGACCAGTGTGGGAATTATCCTTATCGGTTGATGATTTCCTAAGTATGACCACATTTTTGAAATGAGAAATCTGTTGATCGAGGATCATCTCTGACTGGGTATCAGGACAGTACAGTGATCTCTGGCTGAAAGTTTCTCTAACTTGTCAATATAGAAGTAAACAAATGCTTTTCTTAGTGTCCTTTTTTTTTTTTTTTTTTTCATCTTCCCTCATTTTAACATCTCTGCAATGGAGATTCATTTTACAATTATCTTACCATTATAATTGGCAGTATTTGATTATATTTATCCTTATACTTAGATGAACCTAGCATTGACATTAAAAACCAGGATCATAATGACCAAAATATAAGAGAAGGAATTGAGATAAAATTAAGGTACCACCAGACACTCTTATTATTATTCTTTTTCAAACCTGGATGTTTTCTTCTGTGGTCAAGTGTATCTCACTTGATCTCATTAAATATCTAAAGATATTTCTGTCATCCTCCTTGGACAGTAATTTCATGATCCAGGAGACTGTAGTATTGATATCAAAGCACGCTAAAACTTTTTCTCTTTTTCTTCTTTTTAAATCCTCACCTGAGGATATTTTCCCATCCATCTTCAGATAGAGTGGGAGAGGGAGAGGGAGAGAGAAATACTGATCAGCTGCCTGCCCCACGCCCCCCACTTTAGGGCTGGAGCCCCAAACCCAGGCATGTGCCCTGACAGGGAATTGAACTGGTGACCCTCTGCTGCATGGGACCATATTCAACCAACTGAGCCACACTGGCCAGGGCTAGACAGATGACTTTGCAAGTTATTCATTTCTTCTTCCAAAAGATAGGAGTGATAATACCTATTTTAAAGTGCAGTACTGAGGGTGAAATTATATCTGTAGTGTGTCCTGATGTTGCCTAGTACATAGTAGGTTCTCATTAGATTTCTTTTCTTCTCTTCACACAAGTACCATCTTTTGCTACCTTCTAATTTCTCTTTGTCTAACACTTTATATAATATTTTCCTTAGAAATGAGTAGTCAAACTATCATCAGTCTCCCCTAACTGTGCATATCCTGGGACATGTTTCATTCAAATAGATTTCCTACAGGTTATTTCTTCTTATCTCATGACTTATTGATGCCCATATTTTTATGGCCATACTTAGAATTTTTGTTAAGTAAGTACATAATCAAGAGAATGAATTTTGTAAAATCTTTTTTTTTTTTTTTTTAAATGAACATGCTTTCAAACATATATCTAATCATATCTTAGTTTCCTTTGAATAGTGAAATATCAAAAACAGAATTCCTCCTTAGAGAGTATATTAAATATGGAGTTTTTCTTCTGAAATTGTCTCCAAAACATTGGCAACTCCAGCAAGCAATGAAAAGGGCGCAAATATCAAAGAGTAAAGAAACTATGGAGGTCTCTCTTCCAAAAATATTAACAAGTGAGTCATATATTGTTCATTTCAGTTAAGTAAATATCCCTAATTCTAACATGTTCAGCTTCAATGTGTGTTTGCTATTTATTAAATAGTCAGAACTTCTTTTTCAAGCACAACCTGATCAAGGATTCTCACTGTTTCTGTTATTATATTTTGTTAATTTGGAAACTCAGGTTAATTTCAGATATAAAGCAATAAAAATATATACATGGAGTCATAGAAAATATATTATTTATAGATGCTATGATAGCTTAACTAGAACTTCCCACCCACAGAAACCTGAAAAGCTATTTGAACAAATGGACACAAAGTCAATTATATTTATTAACCTAACATATTAACCTAAATAAACTAACGTTTTTAATTAAAAAAAAAACATATAAGAAAATTAAATCCAAGAAAGCAACAATAACCTTAATGGTGTGACCCAGAGATTTCACGAATAGAAAAATATGTCATGTTTTTAGATAGAAAGATTGAGATTTTAAAGCTGCCAATTTTTCTGAAACGAATGTATCAGTTTCATGGAATTATAATAAAAATGTGACCAAAAACTTGTCAGGGACTTATGTGTTGGGCTGGGGAGAACTTTCCAGTTGCTCTGAGGTTCACCTACAAAAAGGAGGTAACGGGAGGGGATGTTACTAATCCTTTAAAATATATAACATATTATAGCAGCATCTAGGAATTAAAACAGTGTTTGTTGTGCTGGTGTTTAGAAATCAGCTCAAAATAGATGTTATTATATGTAAGAATTTAGTAAGTGATCAAATGGGGTCACAAGGGAAGACTTCTTCTTCTAGTAGCTTTGGGGTAACAGGAACCAGACACCCTCCTGCCTGAAAAGTCGAAAAACACAGGAAGCAGTTTTCCGACCTTGAACATCAGGAGCCATGTCGAGTGATCCCTCAGAGAGAGGAAACAAAACCCTGTGTGGCCTCGGCGGCCTCCGCGGAGTTTCCCGGAAGCAGCTCAGGAAGGGGGAGCCCAGGTGGGCCCCACAGTCCCCCTGAATTGAAGAGACAGGGCTGGGGTCCAGGGAGGACACAGCGGAGCTAGAGCAGAGCACTGGAGAGGAGAGGGGTACGCGGAGAGCTGGTTCTGAGGCGCGGGGTAAGGACGTGGACACCACAGACATCAGTACAGACCAGGGACAGTCACCAGCCCACAGCCCGCGGCCCTGCTCTCCCGGGCCTGCGCCTGCGCCGGGAATGAAGGTAGATCAGTGCACGGGGAGGGTCGAGCGAGCACAGGGACGACACTTGCTCAGCAGTACGTGGTGTTTGACAGGAGAGAAAAGCAAAGGGGAAGGAAAAGTGAGGAGCGTTTGCATCTCCCAGCTAAGACCCAGTGTAGTGTGGGTGTGGGGGGTGGGGGGCTGCCCAGAACGCAGGGCGTCGCTCCGTCCCGGGGGTGGATGGGGGTGGGGGGTGGATGGCTCGCCCTGGGACGCAGAGGTGATGACGAGCTGGTGTGGACACGGGCCCGCCTGGTGCCCTGCAGGTCAGCCCACCCATTCCGCCGCCCCGGAGACCAGGCCTGGCCGCCTGCAGCACACGTGCTGGTTATGATGTCCCCACCTTACTGTTCTATCCTCGGAGCGTGTACAGTGACTCTGCTTTCACTCGAGGACCGAGCTCTGATCTCAGAAGTGCTGCCTCCCTCCCTCTTCACCTTCCATTTCTAGAGATAAGTTCGAGGAAGATAGCGAGCAAGGCTGAGGACACCACCAGGAGGACATCGTTTTCAGAAGAGCCTCCCCTGGGAAGAAGCAGCAAAGGTAGCACTAGATGTGAGGCTTCGCTCACACGAGTGAAAGCGGAGAAGGTGCCCCCGTGAAAGCGGAGACCAAGGCGCCATGGCTGAGCTGGTGCCCCCGTGAAAGCGGAGACCAAGGCGCCATGGCTGACCTGGATGGGGGGGGGGGGGAGGGGGGGGGCGCGGGGAGGCGGCGGGGGGGGGGGGCGGGGAGGCGGGGAGGCGGCTGTGGCTCCAGGGCAGAACCGCAGAGAGACTGGGTGGAAGTCCTAAGAGCACTAGTGTGAGGAAGGGTGACCTGGGGAGACCTGGGAGCCTCGGGATGAAACTATCGAGGCCATTCTTGCCCACTGGTCAGTTTCCTATCAGGATGAGGTGTAGACATTGATGTGGGGGACACGTGCAGGGGAGACTTTAGGTGGCGATGGTAGTTTTCTCCACAAGTTGTAATGTTGGCAGTGTCCATCCTTTTCCCCCTTCAATTAAAAAAACCTGTGACTAGAAACATAGATGACTAGGTGGAAGTAGAACCGTGACTTTTATTTCACAGTTCATACCCCTGATCTGTGACATGTATCCTTTTGGACAAACACCCCCTGCCCCCTAACCCTGTGCCTTTGATTTTATTCTTATGCTTGGAATCCAATGTCAATAGAATAAAGAGCTCTATTTCCATATGATTATAATTCTAATAATTTTTAAAAGTAATGGGCATATCTGTGCAGAACAATGAATACCTTGCACCAAAGAACAAGAATTAATTTCTAATCATATGCTATTTCTTTTCCCCTCCACCATCACCAATGACACGGACTTCGCCTGGATGTTTTGAACAGGAAAACTACACAAGAAGCCCGCTCCCACCCTAGAGAAAGAGAAATCGTTCTTGTCAAAGTACAGTACTTACTTGATGAACTCGGTTGGAAACTGAATGTTTTTCAGCAAACGTCTCTTTTAGCCTTTCTTCAATATACACAGCACGTAGCCACACCCACTATAACAGATACTGGGGGCAGCGCAGCCTTTCCTGTGTGCTCCTGAGGTGATCTCTACAGGCCCCTGGATTCTGAGAAGTGCCCTGCAGACACTGCCTGCCCCACCCCATCTTGGGTCTTTGCCTCTTAGCATCTACTGCCCAACTGTTTATTTTTTAATTTTATTTTTAATTTTATTTTTGTTTCTCCTTTTTAACCCCATTGACATCCTCCTCCCCAATCCCCTGCTCGTCCCCGGCTTTGTTGTTCATGTCCATCAGTTATGTGTACATGCATATAAGTTCTATCTCTTCCCTCCCCTCACCACCCCCTCTTCTGAGGGGTGTCAGTCTGTACCCTACTTCCATGTTTCTGGGTCTACCCTATTCCTCAGACATTAAGTTACTCTGCTGGCCTGTGTGTTTGCAATTCACCGTGTTATTCAAAAATGACGAAATAGGACCATTAAAGCATTTTTGTTGGTTTCAGCCCTGACTGCCCCCGAGGGAGCTTTCAGAAAATACGTTGATGCCCAGGTTGGGTACACCAGCCCAAGGGAAGTGTCCGGGCCAGCACCACAGAATCACACATGACAAAAGGCAACAGAGACACGGTGCTCTAAATTCCAGGGGCACCATGGCATTTAGCGTCATTGTTCTGTTTTTAATTAAATGTTTATTTTGAGGTAATTGTAGATTCACATGCAGTTGTAAGAAATAATATGGAGAGATCCCATGTACCCTTTACCCAGATTCACCCACTGATAACATCTTGCAAAACCGTAGTACACTATCACAACCAGGATAACAGCATCAATACAGTCAAGAGATAAGCAAATACAGAACATGCCCCCAAGGTTTCTTCATGTTGCCCCTTAATATCACATCTACTTCCTTCTCTCCACCTCCCCTTAACCTCTGACAACCACTAACCTCTTCTCCATTTCTATGATTTTTCTCACTTTAAGAATGTTATATAAGTGGAATCACACAGTATGTAACCTTTGGGATTGGGTGTTTTTGTTAAGCATAATTCTCTGAAGATTGATCCAAGTTGTTCGGTCTATCAATAGTTGGTTCTTTTCATTGATGAGTTGGATGGTAGATGCAAGTTTAGTTTTTAAAGAAACTGTCGAATGGTTTCCCAGAATGGCTATACCACTTTACACTGCGCCGCTCCCCCCCCACTTCCCGAGGAATGTATGAGGGGTCCAGTTTCTTTGCATCTCACCAGTATTTGGTATTTTCACCTTTTTCTTATTTTAGCTATTTTGATAGGTGTGCATATCTTATTGTGCTTTTCATTTGCATTTCCCTAGTAGCTAATGATGTTGGACATCTTTTCATGAGTTTGTTTACACCTTTATAGCCTCTAAAGTGATGTTCATGTCTTTTGCTCATTTTCTAACTGGATTGTTAAACTATTAGGTTTTGAGAATTCTTTATATATTTAGATACTAATACATTGTAACTTTGTGGTTTGCAAATATTTTCTCTCAGTCTGAGACTGTCCTTTCATTCTCTTAAGAGGGTCTTTTACAGAGCAAAACTTTAAAATTTGGATAAAGTATAATTTATCACTTTTTTCTTATATAAATCATGTTTTATATGTCAAGTCTAAAACTCTTTGTCTAGCCCTAGATCCCAAAGATGTTTTTCATCTAAAAGTTTTATAGTATTATACCTAAGTCTGTGATCCATTTTGGGTTACTTTTGTATAAGGTGTGAGGTTTAGACTGAGTTGGGGTTTTTTGTTTTGTTTTTGTTGCCTGTGGATGTCAATTGCTCCAGCACCTTTGTTGAAATGGCTTCTCCACTGGATTGCTTGTGCACCTGTGTCAAAAATCAGTTGCGAATATTTGTTCAGGTCTGTTTCTGGATTTTCTATTCTGTTCCATTGACCTCCACTGATACCTCCTGGTCTTTTTTTTTTTTTTTTTTAATCCTCATCCGAGGACATTTTTCCATTTTTTGTACAGACAGAGTGGGAGGGAGAGAGAGGAAGAGAGAGAGAGAAACATCAACATGAAAGGGACACATCGAGTGGCTGCCACCCGCACTACCAACCAGGGCCGGGGACAAACTGCAACCGAGGTACATGCCCTTAGCGGGAACCGAACCCGGGTCTCTCTGGACCGCAGGCGGACGCTCTAACCGCTGAGCCAAACCGGCCAGGGCAATACCTCCTGGTCTTGACCACTATAGCTATTATTCTTGAAATTAGGTAGATTGATTTTTCTTACTTTATTCCTCTTTTTCAAAATTATGTTAACTATTTTAGTTCCTTTGTCTTTCCATGTATATTTTAGAATAATCTTGTCTATACTTACACACAAAAAAAATCTTGCTGGAATTATGATAGGAATCATGTTGAATTTTGTTATGGGTTGAATTCTCTCTCCCAAAAAGATATATTAAAGTCTTAACCCATGGTATCTATGAATGTGACCTTATTTGGAAATAGGATCTTTATAAACATAGTCAAGTGAAGATAAGGTCATTAAGGTGGGCCCTTACTGCAATAGGACTGGTGTTCTTATAAGAGGAGAAGAGACACAGAGATACAGGAAGACCATCATGTGAAAACAGAAGCAAAAATTGGAGTGATGCATCCACAAGCCAAGGAATGCCAACGATTGCTGGCAACACAAGAAACTAAGAGAAATGCATGGAACAGGTTCTTCACAGAGCTTTCAGAAACAGCATGCCTTGCTGACACCTTGACTTTGGACTTCTAGCCTCCAGAGCTATGAAAGAATACATTTCTGTTGTTTTATAACACTTAATTTATGGCACTTTGTTACAGTAGCCCCAGGCAACTGATACAAACCTCTAATTCAGTTTGGGGAGAATTCACATCTTTACAATGTTACCTTCTTCAGTCCATGGACAGACTGAATGTCTGTTTACTTAGATCAGTGGTTCTCAACCTTCCTAATGCTGCGACCCTTTAATACAGTTCTTCATGTTGTGGTGACCCCCAACCATAAAATTATTTTCATTGCTACTTCATAACTGTAATTTTGCTACTGTTATGAATCGCCATCGGAAATATGTGAAAGGGTTGTTCGACCTTCAAAGGGGTCACAACCCACAGGTTGAGAACCGCTGACTTAGATATTTTTTATTCTTTAATCAGCCTTGCATAGTTTTCAGCATATATGTCTTGTATATATCTTGTTAGATTTACACCTAAATATTTCTTCTCTATTTTTTCTTTTGAGCAATTGTAAGTGGTATTGTATTTTTAATTTCAGTGTCTTTGTGTTCATTGCTAGTATATAGAAATACAATTGATTATTGAGATTTTATCTTCTATACTCTGATCTTGCTGAACTCAATTGTTAGTTCCAGAAATTTTGTTTTTGTTCTTTTGAGGTTTTTTTTTTTTTATATATTCTTTTGGATTTTCTATATAGATCATCATGGTGTCTGAAAATATATGTATGCCTTTAATTTCTTTTTCTTGCCTTATTGCAGTGGGTAGAACTTCTCATGTTGAATAAGAGTAGTGGGAGCAAACATCCTTGCCTTGTTCCTAGTCTTCAGATGATGCAGTTTCCACCACTAAGTGAAATGTTAGCTGTAGGGTTTGTGTAGATTGCAGTTATCAAGTTGAATAAGGCCTCTCTGTATTGATTTTTCTGAGTGTTGAATTTCGCCAAATGCCTTTTCTGCATCTATCGATGCACATGGTAATATGCAAACACCACATTCGCTCCCTCACAAAGTTCATCACTTTCATAGTCCCTTTCAATCACTCAACAAATATTTATTGAGAACAGAGGGGTGGGCAGTAGTATCATGTGCTTTCTCAGGTGATGTTTCCCAAATATCCATGTCCTCCTAAGGTTCATTCTTTGTCTTCCCACACCTTAGTTCCCATTGCTTAAAGGGCAGCTCCAGGTAGGTATTTTGTGCCCTCAAAGTCAACATGAACAAAGCAAATATTAATCTTCTTATCCCATCCTGAGACTGCTTTCCTTTCTGTTAGTGCTCCTTCTGTTACTCCAGGCTCAGTAGCTATTTCTAGTCTTGGTTTCCATGATTTCATTCTTTCATGGGTCGCTAATTGTCCTCCTTTCCCCAACACTCATTTACTCACTTTTCCCATAGGCACCACCCTCTATGTGCAAGCTCCTACTTCAATATTTCAACCATTCTCAATACATCCTTCTTAGAGAACTTTTTTCAGAGCCACTTTGCAAGCCATGTAATTATTCTTTAAGGGTGTATCTTAGCACCTTCCCTCAGTCGACATTTCCTCATTGAAAGATATTTTTTAAAATAAAAATAAAAATAAATATTGTGTCACTCTGGGATAAGCTTTGTTTTGAGCACTAAGGCACATGCAATTTTTTTAAAAAATGCATTAAAATGGACAAAATGGATGTGGTAATGTAGGTTGTCATGTGTTTCTTTAAAAAAAAAATTACCTTACTCTATAGCTGCACCTCAAATAATTGGTCCTGTCTGGCATAGCCCTGCCCTGTGGCCTCATTGTTTGCGTCTGTCACCCTGGTCTGGATGAGTCTAATGTTCTTTCACATAGTCATGGAATCCATTGATTCCTGAAATAAACAGATCCCTAAAAGGCTAAACAGGCTATTGGAAAACAAAACAAAACGATGTGACAGTTGGATTCCAGAGAAAACTTAAAATTGAAAGCAAATCTGTTGACAGAAAATGACTCAGAAATCAGGCATTTTCTTTTTCTTTTATTGCAGATCTGAAAGTATAAGTTCAAATGAGAGTCTGGAATTCTTGTTAGAAGATGAAATGGTCTATGATCTGGTAATGAGATTATATTTCTTGATTTAAATATTGTGTTTGGTGACCTACCCTTTTTCTTCTTTTGAAATTAAAATTTCCTATTCAAAATATTTCATAACTTTCCAGAAGAAAATATGATTTTGATACTGTTCCTCAGTTGTATATATAGTTCATCTTTGTCATGAGATAGTTTATGAAAAATAAATGTCTATAAGTAGATAATGCTTTAGAAGATATATTATCTGCAGTCTCCCTGTAAAAAAATAGCCACTTCCTGGCTGCTTATCATTTTACTGGGTCTTGAGATACATTGAGTAGCTGAACTATAAGACTAAGTGACCTTCAAAAAAACAGCCCTTCATGGCTACAAGATTGACTTTGAGCTAACCCCACCCTAAATACAACTACAGGAACTCGAAAGAAACAAAAAACACTTTAAAATACTTAAATGCATCATCTTTTTTTTTTTTTTTTTTATTGTGGTAAAGAAAAAATAGCATAAAATTTACCATCTTAACCATTTTTAAGTGTACGGTAGTGTTAATATATGCACATTGTTGTGCAGTAGATCCTGTGATCTTTCATCATGTAAACCTGAAACTCCACACCCATCATGTAAACCTCCAACTGCACTCCAACTCCCCTAATCCCCTCCCTCTAGCCCCAGCAAATATTGTTCCATTATCTGAGTTTGATGATTCCTTTAGATACCTCAAAAAAGTGAAATCATGCAGTATTTGTGTTTTTGTGACTTATTTCACTTAGCATATCTTCCAGGTCCATCCATGTTGCAGCAGGTGACAGGATTTTTAAGGTTACTATTCCATGGTATGGACACACCACATTTGCTTTATCCATTCATCCACTGATAGACATTTAGGTTGTTTCCACCCCTTGGCTATAGGAAATAAGATGAATATGGGTGTGTAAATACCCAAGTCATCTTTTAAAAAATTAAATTTACTTAAAATAATACACGCTTACTTCTAAGATTTTTGAAAATATAAAATAATTAAAATGCGGGGAGAAGATGACCTTCACTTAGCCCTCTATCTTTATCTTTCTTTTACTTCTGCTCCCTTCCCTTTCCCTAGACCCCTTTCCCTTTGTCCTGCCCTGGGCTCTTCTGCTCCGTCCTTACTTCCTTCTCTTTCCTCACTCTCTTCCTCCATTTCCCCAGTACCTTTCGTCTCCCCCAGTACCTCGGATGTGCTGTGCCTGGTGCCGGCTCTCTCGTCACACAGGCTCCCTCCCACTCACAATGGTATTCCAGAATGCGTTTTCTAGGTAAGCCACAAGCACATAGGCAGCATGTTTTTAAGTGAATTATATTCTTCATTATCAACGGATTAGGAACCAGAGCTTTACTTCAAACAACCAGAAGAGTTACTTCAAGTCCTCACAGAGCTGGAAGAGCAGAATCTGACCTTGGTGCAATATTCCCAAGATGTAGATGAAAACCTTGACGATGTGAATAAAAGAGAAAGACTTATACAGGATAAAATGTAAGTCACTGTAAACAAGTGGATTTATTCTATTAAGTGATTTCTAACCAGAGACAGAGTACAGGTTACTCACGTGTGGTCCTTCCTGTGGTCTCTCTGGACTTAGGTTGAAATTTTTATTAACGACCATTTACATTGTGGAGTGTACAGAGTTGAAGTTGTATTTACACAGAATATGCTGGCTTTAGTTTGATTTTAGTTTCTACTTCCTTTCACTTGTCAAATGTTTTCCTAGCTAGCAATAATAAAGGATTAAAAAGAATGGAAGGGTCACCTACTGCCTTGATTTTGTTCATGACCATCTTCGCCCTATCATCTGGCTAATCAAACCATGTTTGGAAGATGATGCTAACAATGCATTGTCCTTGGCGGTGACTTTCCTCAGCAAAACAGTTTTTTTGGTGACTTAAATATTGTATCATGTTGTAATGTGCACATCAATATAGCAGGGGTATGATAAAAGGACGGCATGTCTGTCAGAGGAAGAAGGTGGATTTGATGACTTACTAGATTTGATGCCTCATGACGTTCCTTCCTATTATAAAATGTATTATTGCAATTTTGGGTTCGTGTCACAGAGAACAGATCTTTATGTCTACCTATTATAAAAATGTGTAGAAGCTTTTTCAGAACAGTTATGTGGGCCAGAAGATAGAAATATTTTTAAACAGTAGGTCAAACTATATTGAACTTTGGAACAAAGTAACTTGTTTATAAGTTATAAACCTAAGCCCTGGCCAGCTTGGCTCAGCGGTTAGAGCGTCAGCCTGTGGTCCAGAGAGACCAGGGTTTGGTTCCCGCTAAGGGCACGTACCTCGGTTGCAGTTTGTCCCCGGCCCTGGTTGGTCATGTGGGAGGCAGCCACTTGATGTGTCCCTTTCACGTTGATGTTTCTCTCTCTCTCTTTCTCTCTCTCTCTCTCTCTCTCTCTCTCTCTCTCCCTCTACCTCCCTCCCACTCTCTCTGAACAAAAAAATGAAAAAACGTCCTTGGGTGAGGATTAAAAAAAAAAAAATCATGATTGCACAGCCACCTGTTACCACTAATGTATCCGTTTAACTTGTGTGTCCTCTCCCAATCCTCCCAGCTATGGTGTCCCGACCCCTGGCAATGTGATTTTGGGGAACATGGGGTATATGGTGGGGCAGGAAAAGGGGGTCTATGTCAGAATCTATCTCTAGATCGCTATCAGAATCTCTAGGTGAGGGAGCCAGGAGTCTCTATTTTTTAACCCTGGGCCCCCAAAATATTCTGATTACCAGCCAGATTTGAGAACACAAACATAACATCCTACCATGACTTGAGCTCCTGACACCCAAGCTTTGCTGCTCTCTATTAGGGAGATGAGGGAAATCACGAGAGTATAAAGGGGAACAAAATGCTTCCTGATGGGAGTTAAAAACAGCCTCTTGCATTTTTCTCATTTTAAATTGAAAAGTTGCATGTACATTGGCAATGTCTTAAAATAGAAACTCAGGTTTGGCTTGCTAGACATAGGATGCAAACACATGGTCTGGAAAGAGTGGAAACTCCTGGCCGGTAGTTTATTCCCAAACCACACATCACAGACAAGGGTCTCTTTCTTCTTTTGCCATAGAAATAGCAACATAGAGTTTCTTTTGGAGCACAAGGAAATACTTAAGGCTAACTGTGTGAGAGAAGAGGAGAAAGCAGCAGAACTGGAATTAAGGTCCAGGTTATTCAGTTTTGGACAATTTAATTCAGATGCTCAGGTAAGCATTCTTTGCCTATGGTTTTATTTTTATTTTGGTTCATGATAATGATTTTCATTCCCTGTGTACTAAGCACTGGAATGGGAAAATGAAAGGTAAAGCATAGCTCCAGCTTGATGACAAAGGCAGAAAACCAGCCTGGAATGATCTTGTCAGACGCAACAGTCTATTGGCATAGCAGATGGAAAGCATTCAAACTGGTACTGGGGTTCTCTTAAACTGTCGCTCTAATTATTACTGACTATGATGTTGAGATTCCCCCCCTATAAAAACATTTCCTTAAGTCAAAGTGTATACATATGAAGTAGCTCACTGCCTGTGATCATTTTGGTAGTAATTTAAGGAGCAAACAGAGGAAGCACTGAATCAACACTGGACTATCTGAGCAACACTGAGCTCATGATAGATTCTGGCCTTTAGGGACCTGTGTAGTCATTACCTGAGCACCTGGAACACCTGGAACACATGCTAATATGCTTATTTATTTACATGTTAGTCTCTCCCAGCTGGATGCAAACCCCTTAAGGGCAGGGATTTCTTACCCTTCTTGGCTAAGTTTAATGTCCCTAAAGGAGGTACTCAATCAATGTTTGTTGAATGAATGATTAGGTTAGTTTCTAGACCCACAACTCTAGCTAACATTGGTTTTCTTGTAAAAATCTCAAATGAAATAAAAATCCATGCTACTATATGAGGTTACTATCACATTTATGGTCATGAACTTGGTTTTCAAGCAGAAGTACATTTTGGGGGTACTGTATCGAGCAGATGATTGCCCTTCCCTACCCATTGGTAGGCTGGGTTATAAAAAGAACCCCTCCCCCAAAACACTTCCTAGAGTGGTACAGCACCCTGCGTTAGGAGGGGACAGGGTTGCCCACTGCTACAGCAGGAAGTGTGATGACAGCTACCTTTATTTATTTATTTTTATTAATTTTTGTTACAGATGTGTCTCCTTTTTCCCCCACTGATTCCCCCCTCCCTCCCTGCCTTTTCCCCAGTTTGTTGTCCATGTCCACTGTTCACGCATACATGCATATAAGTTCTGTGGTTTATCTCTCCCCCACCACCTCCTCTTTAGGGGATTGTCAGTCTGTAACCCACTTCCACGTCTCTGGGACTACCCCATTCCTCAGACTGTTATGTTCATTATATTCCACAAATAAGTGAGATCATATGAAACTTGTCTTTCTCTGTTTGGCTTGTTTCACTTAGGATGATACTTTCCAGGTCCCTCTATGTAGTCTCAAAGGATAAGAGATCTTTCTTTCTTACAGCTGCATAGTACTCCATTTTGTATATGTACCACTGCTTTTTTATCCATTCGTCTACTGATGGACACTTGGGCTGTTTCCAGATCTTAGCTATTGTAAGTAGTGCTGCTACAAACACGGGGTACATATATTCTTTCTGATTGGTGTTTCAGGCTTCTTAGGGTATATTCCTAGAAGTGGAATCACTGGGTCAAATGGCAGTTCAATTTTTAACTTTTTGAGGTACCACCATATTGTTTTCCATAGTGGCTGCACCAGTCTGCATTCCCACCAGCAGTGCACTAGAGTCCCCTTTTCTCCACACCCTCGCCAACACTTGTTGTTTGATGATTTGTTGATGGTGATCATTCTGACAGGTGTGAGGTGATACCTCATTGTTGTTTTAATTTGCATTCTCTGATGATTAGTGATGTTGAGCATTTCTTCATATGTCTCTTAGCCATTTGTATGTCCTGTTTGGAGAGGTGTCTATTTAGTTCCTCTGCCCATTTTTTAATTGGGTTCTTTGTCTTCCTTTTGTGGAGTTGTATAAGCACTCTATATGTATTGGAAATTAACCCCTTATCTGATATATCATTGGCAATTATGCTCTCCCATACAGTGGGTAGCCTTTCCGTTTTGATGATTGTATCTTTTGCTGTGCAGAAGCTTTTGAGTTTGATGTAGCCCCATGTGTTCATTTTCTCCTTTGTTTCTATTGCCTTAGGTGATGTGTCAGTAAAAATTCTGCTGCATATGATGTCTGAAATTTTGTTGCCTACAGTCTCTTCTAGGATTTTTATGGATTCATGAGTTAACATTTAAGTCTTTTATCCATTTTGAGTTTATTCTCGTGTAGGGTGTAAGTTGATGCAAGTAGCTGTCCAATTTTCCCAACACCACTTATTAAAGAGGCTGTCCTTACTCCACTGTATGCTCTTGCCACCTTTGTCAAATATTAATTGAGCATATTGCCTTGGGTCCATTTCTGGGTTCTCTGTTCTGTTCCACTGGTCTATATGCCTGTTCTTGTGCCAGTACCAGGCTGTTTTGATTACAGTGGCTTTGTAGTATAACCTGAAATCTGGTATTGTGATCCCTCCAACTTTGTACTTCCTTTTCAAGATTGCTGTGGCTATTCGAGGCCTTTTTTGGTTCCTTATGAACTTTTGAAATAATTGTTCTAATTCTGTGAAGTATGCCGTTGGTATTTTGATGGGGATTGCGTTGAATCTATAGATTGCTTTGGGTAATATGGACATTTTAATGATGTTAATTCTCCCAATCCATGAACAAAGTATGTGCTTCCACTTTTTTATATCTTCCTCTATTTTTTTTTTCTTTTTATCCTCACTCAAGGACATTTTTCCATTTTTTATTCAGATAGAGTGGGAGGGAAAGAGAGGAAGAGAGAGAGAAACATCGACGTGAAAGGGACACATCGAGTAGTTGCCACCCACACGACCCAACCAGGGCCAGGGACGAACTGCAACCGAGGTACACGCCCTTAGCGGGAACCGAACCCGGGCCCCTCCGGACCACAGGCCGACGCTCTAACCACTGAGCCAAACCAGTCAGGGCGGTCCTCTATTTCTTTTTTCAATGACCTGTAGTTTTCTGCGAATAGGTCCTTTATTTCTTTGGTTAAGTTTATTCCTAGGTATCTTAATTTTTTTTGCTGCGATGGTAAATGGGATTGTTTTCTTAGTTTCTCTTTCTGTGAGTTCATCATTGGTGTATAAGAATGCCATCGATTTCTTGTTTTGTTTTGTTTTTTTATCCTCACCGGAGGACATTTTTCCATTTTTTGTTCAGATAGAGTGGGAGGGAAAGAGAGGGAGAGAGAGAGAGAAACATCAACGTGAAAGGGACACATCGAGTGGCTGCCACCCGCACAACCCAACCAGGGCCGGGGACAAACTGCAACCGAGGTACGTGCCCTTAGTGGGAACCGAACCCGGGTCTCTCCAGACCGCAGGCCAATGCTCCAACCGCTGAGCCAAACCGGCCAGGGCTGCCATCGATTTCTTAATGTTAATTTTGTATCCTGCTACTTTGCTAAATTCATTTATTAAGTCTAGTAAACTTTTGATGGAGTGTTTGGGGATTTCCATGTACAGTATCATGTCATCTGCAAATAATGACAATTTCACTTCCTCCTTTCCAATTTGGATCCCTTTTATTTTTTCTTCCTGTCTGATTGCTGTGGCTAAGACTTCCAGTACTATGTTAAATAGGAGTGGCGAAAGTGGGTATCTTTGCGTTGTTCCTGTTCTTAAGGGAAATGCTTTTAGTTTTTGCCCATTGAGTATGATGTTGGCTGTAGGTCTTTCATATATGGCCTTTATTATGTCTAGATATGATCCCTCTATTCCCACACTGCTGAGTGTTTTTTTTATCAGAAATGGATGCTGGATTTTGTCGAAGGCTTTTTCAGCATCTATTGATATTATCATGTGGTTTTTATTCTTCATTTTATTTATGTGGTGTATCACATTTATGGATTTGCGAATATTGTACCAGCCTTGCATCCCTGGGATGAATCCCACTTGGTCATGGTGGATAATTTTTTTGGTGTATTGCTGGATCCAATTTGCTAGTATTTTGTTCAGGATTTTGGCATCTATGTTCATCAGGGATATTGGCCTGTAGTTTTCTTTCTTTGTTGTGTCTTTTTCTGGTTTTGGAATTAGAATTATGCTGGCTTCATAAAACGAGTTTGGAAGTCTTCCTTCTTCTTGAATTTTTTGAAATAGTTTGAGGAGAATGGGTGTTAGTTCTTCTTTGAATGTTCGGTAAATCTCCCCCGCGAAGCCATCCGGGCCTGGGCTTTTGTTTGCTGGGAGAGTCTTGATTACCTCTTCAATTTCTTCTGTTGTTAATGGTCTGTTCAAGTTTTCTACCTCTTCCTGATCCAGTTTTGGGAGACTATGTGTTTCTAGAAATTTGTCCATTTCGCTTAGATTGTCGAATTTGTTGCCATATAATTATTCATAGTAGTTGTTAACGATCTTTTGTATTTCTGTGGTGTCAGTTGTTACCTCTCCTCTTTCATTTCTGATTTTGTGTATTTAGGTTCTCTCTCTTTGTTTCTTGGTGATTCTAGGTACGCGTCCATCAATTTGTTTATCTTTTCGAAAAACCAGCTCTTTGTTTTATTGATCCTTTGAATTGTTTTTTTTTTTTGGTCTCTATGTCATTTATTTCTGCTCTGATCTTTACTATTTCCTTCCTTCTACTTGCTCTGGGGTTTTGTTTTTGTTTGCTCTCTAGTTCTTTAAGTTGTGAGGTTAGATAATCTATTAGAGATTTTTCTTCTTTTTTGAGGTAGGCCTGTAGTGCTATGAACTTCCCTCTCAGAACTGCTTTAGCTGCATCCCATAGATTTTGTGTTATTGTGTCTTCATTTTCATTGGTTTCCAGGAAGTTTTTGATTTCTTCCTTGATCTCCTCGGTGACCCATTCATTGTTTAATAACATGCTATTTAGCTTCCATGTGTTCAAATGTGACAGCTACCTTTCAATACTGGGTTTTTAAACCACTTTTCATTGTGGTGAAAATGTACCATTTATCTATTTTAAGTGTACAATTCAGTGGCTTTCAGTATATTCACAATATTGTATAGCCATCACCATTGTCTCTTTACAGAATTTTTCACCATCCCAAATAGAAACTCTGTATCCACTAAACAATATTCCCCCATTCTCCTATCTTCCCAGCCTCTGGTTAATTCTCTATTCTACTTT